CCATCGTCGATCACCCAGCGGCGGCTGGGTCATCTTCCAAAGGGGGGGTTCTTAATGGCTGCGTCAGAGCCAGGCTTTTTAAAAGTGCAGTTCGTTGATGGCCCTCGGTCCACTTGCGCACCCACGGGTGCACAAAAGCATCGCAACGTAACGTAACGTTTTGGCTTCATGCTTATTTCTAACCTTGTTCAGCTCTAAAGATCTAATTCAGAACATTAGCGTGAAGTGAGCCCAGCTACGTGTCTGTATATTTATGCAGCTTAGTCGAGAACATATGGGTAAGTTCGATCAATGCCCCAGGGGATGTTGGAGGAGGGGAGGGGGATACTGTACGTGGAACGTTTCTCGAATAGAGAAATGAGAGGAAAATGATGGAAAGGTAACGGAAGAACGGAACCGAGGGGGGTCGTGAGAGATGAGGCTGGGGGTGAGGAGGCTGGGGGTGAGGAGGCTGGGGGTGAGGAGGCTGGGGGTGGGGAGGTTGGGGGTGAGGAGGCTGGGGGTGGGGAGGCTGGGGGTGGGGAGGTTGGGGGTGAGGAGGCTGGGGGTGAGGAGGTTGGGGGTGAGGAGGCTGGGGGTGGGGAGGCTGGGGGTGAGGAGGCTGGGGGTGAGGAGGCTGGGGGTGAGGAGGCTGGGGGTGAGGAGGCTGGGGGTGAGGAGGCTACATCAGGGCCTCGTCGCCGCACGAAGCGGCGTCTGTTTTCACAGGGGGCGGCGGGGGAGAGGGGAGGAGGAGGGACTCCAAGTGGGGGTGGCCACACACAGAAGCCACGAGATTTACAGGCATCATTGAGCTGATCTAGATAGAGAGATAATTCATAAACCTGGAATGTAATTTCTGGGTAGTGTAATTGGAATATATGGGTGATGTCGACACGATTATGGGGGTGGTTGAGGAGTAGGGGACACGAGGAGGTGAGGGAGGTGAGGGAGGCGGGGAGGTGAGAGACACTGGGAGGTGAGGGAGGTGAGGGAAACGGGGTGGTGAGGGAGGTGAGAGACACGGGGAGGTGAGGGAGGTGAGGGACATGGGGAGGTGAGGGCGGCGGGGAGGTGAGAGACACTGGGAGGGGGACATCTGACAGTTTGCTTAACTACTGTCATCCTTACTGCTGGAAAATAAAAATCACAGTTTCAAATATGGGCCTCCAAAAGTGACAGCAGAGTGTGATTGGTTTTACTCACAGGCAGGCTCACATGCAGATACAAACCCTCAATACATTCGCCATTAATACTGTGGCCTTAAAAGGAGATATATGGCCCTTAATTATAGCACAGTTACAGTGAGGGAAAAAAGTATTTGATCCCCTGCTGATTTTGTACGTTTGCCCACTGACAAAGAAATGATCAGTCTATAATTTTAATGGTAGGTTTATTTGAACAGTGAGAGACAGAATAAAAGCAACAAAATCCAGAAAAACGCATGTCAAAAATGTTATAAATTGATTTGCATTTTAATGAGGGAAATAAGTATTTGACCCCCTCTCAATCAGAAAGATTTCTGGCTCCTAGGTGTCTTTTATACAGGTAACGAGCTGAGGTTAGGAGCACACTCTTAAAGGGAGTGCTCCTAATCTCAGCTTGTTACCTGTATAAAAGACACCTGTCCACAGAAGCAATCAATCAGATTCCAAACTCTCCACCATGGCCAAGACCAAAGAGTTCTCCAAGGATGTCAGGGACAAGATTGTAGACCTACACAAGGCTGGAATGGGCTACAAGACCATTGCCAAGCAGCTTGGTGAGAAGGTGACAACAGTTGGTGCGATTATTCGCAAATGGAAGAAACACAAAAGAACTGTCAATCTCCCTCGGCCTGAGGCTCCATTCAAGATCTCACCTCGTGGAGTTGCAATGATCATGAGAACGGTGAGGAATCAGCCCAGAACTACACGGGAGGATCTTGTCAATGATCTCAAGGCAGCTGGGACCATAGTCACCAAGAAAACAATTGGTAACACACTACGCCGTGAAGGACTGAAATTCTGCAGCACCCGCAAGGTCCCCCTGCTCAAGAAAACACATATACATGCCCGTCTGAAGTTTGCCAATGAACATCTGAATGATTCAGAGGACAACTGGGTGAAAGTGTTGTGGTCAGATGAGACCAAAATGGAGCTCTTCGGCATCAACTCAGCTCGCCGTGTTTGGAGGAGGAGGAATGCTGCCTATGACCCCAAGAACACCATCCCCACCGTCAAACATGGAGGTGGAAACATTATGCTTTGGGGATGTTTTTCTGCTAAGGGGACAGGACAACTTCACCGCATCAAAGGGACGATGGATGGGACCATGTACCGTCAAATCTTGGGTGAGAACCTCCTTCCCTCAGCCAGGACATTGAAAATGGGTCGTGGATGGGTATTCCAGCATGACAATGACCCAAAACTCACGGCCAAGGCAACAAAGGAGTGGCTCAAGAAGAAGCACATTAAGGTCCTGGAGTGGCCTAGCCAGTCTCCAGACCTTAATCCCATAGAAGATCTGTGGAGGGAGCTGAAGGTTCGAGTTGCCAAACGTCAGCCTCGAAACCTTAATGACTTGGAGAAGATCTGCAAAGAGGAGTGGGACAAAATCCCTCCTGAGATGTGTGCAAACCTGGTGGCCAACTACAAGAAACGTCTGACCTCTGTGATTGCCAACAAGAGTTTTGCCACCAAGTACTAAGTCATGTTTTGCAGAGGGGTCAAATACTTATTTCCCTCATTATAATGCAAATCAATTTATAACATTTTTGACATGCGTTTTTCTGGATTTTTTTGTTGTTATTCTGTCTCTCACTGTTCAAACAAACCTACCATTAAAATTATAGACTGATCATTTCTTTGTCAGTGGGCAAACGTGCAAAATCAGCAGGGGATCAAATACTTTTTTTCCCTCACTGTAAGTGAGATGAGGAACGGGTATTGCCTGCAACGTTGACTATTATATATTTTATTTTAGGGCTGTATATTTCTGACGAACGTATTTCTTGTTGTTTAGTATTTGTGCTCGCGCACCACTGCCAACGCAGCAGCAGTCACCAAATTATTTGTTACAAATATCCGATTGCCATGATCGTGAGTGAGCGCGTTGCCTCCCGTGGAGTGTGCCACCACAGCCGTCTGCGCGCACTGAAATGTGGGGCGGGAGGGGAGACCAATGTCATGGATCCTATTATCCGCGATTTTACTTCGCTTATCCGCGGGCTTAATACATGACAGATGAGCCCCTAAGGGTAATAGGATTAGCTTGCCATGTGGCGACTCTCGTCCGTCGATGCATCGCGGATGATGGGAGTAACGACGTACGGTCTCGTAGACGTATTAGCAAGCCGATTCGCGATGCATTGTGGGTAAAATTGTGGACAATCGCGGATAATGGGGAAAAATAGAGCGGAAGATAAGAGGAGTTTTTCAGACCACGGAGAATAGGAGTCGCGGGTAATAGGGCATGGATTAAAGGAGCTATCCTTTGTACTGATGCTTTTGTGTACACAAAGACAAAGCTTCCCATGTAGCCTTAACCGATTGTTGGGGCAAGTGCTGTTAGCGAGCACCTATGAAGGCCGGCACGGCACACGCGAGGGGGTGGGCAGCCAGCACCACGCCCGGCCGCCTTTGTCTCCCCAGTGGCGATGTTTACACACCGCACCAGGTACTCATTTGAGGCTGAGTCGACCTAGGAGAGGCCCAGGACCGGTTCAGATAATCATCACTGGTGTTGGCCGTGAGTGGGAATCGAACTCGTGTTGCTGGGTTCGTTGTGCAGCACGCTAACCGCTGCGCCACCACTCGTGCGCACGCACACACAGACACGCACCCACGCACACACAGACACGCACCCATGCACACGCAGACACGCACCCACGCACACGCAGACACGCACCCACGCACACGCAGACACGCACCCATGCACACACAGACACGCACCCACGCACACACAGACACGCACCCACGCACACGCAGACACGCACCCACGCACACGCAGACACGCACCCACGCACATGCAGACACGCACCCACGCACACGCAGACACGCACCCACGCACACGCAGACACGCTAAGCCCACGCTCCTGTATCCCTTTGTCTGTTTTCATGAAATGCCTCTTGGTTGTGCTCAATGTACGAATGTTTCATTTTTTCACCCAGTTTTTTTCAGTTATTTAATTGTGCGTGCATGTGTTTGTGGGTTGCGGCAGGGTAGAGTTAGCTTACTCTTTGGGTCTGTTGGTAAAGTCACGTAGATAGAAAAATAATAGATCACGATGTTTCGATCGCAACACAGGCAATCGTCTTCAGGTGAGAGTTAGCATACTTCGCTCTGAAACCGGCCACCTGAGGTTCGATTTCTGCTCTTGACCAATAACAGTGGTGAATTTTTTTGACCGGTTCTGGGCCTCTTCTAGGTCGACTAAGAATTGAATAACGACAGTATCTGCTGTGGCCTGTAAATATTATCATGACAAAGGCCGCCGGGCCTGCTGTTGGCCACCCGTCCCCTCATGTGCCTTGCTGGACTTCATAGGTGCTCGCTGACAGCGCTGGCCCCAACAGCAATATGTTTCGAACCTAAATGCCAATGTTCAGGTCTGCCAGCCACGACAGGGCTTTAAGGAGAGAGTTTGTGTACTTTTGCTATTCTTCCATTGAAGGAGCCTTTCACAGCATTAAGGGCTATACTTGGCGTGGTAATTAGTGTATTGCGCGATCAGACCGGCAACCTGAATTCAATTCCCAGTGGCAGGCTCTATCTGAACTGGTCTTGGGCCTCCCCTAGGTCGACTCAGCCTTAAATGAGCGCCTGGTAGTGTGCGTGAACTTCAGCACTGTGGAGACAGGCGGCCGGGCGTGATGCCGTCGATCCCACCCCTTCGCGTCCCACAGTGCCCGCCCTTCATAGGTGCTAATTGCTAACAGCACTTGCCCCAACAGTCTGTTGAAGGCGATACGGGGGGGGAAGGCTTTTGTCTCTTTGTGCGTGTGCGTGACTCCATGTGTGTCTGATTTGTGTCCGTCTAGCGGAGTCGCGGCATCTCGGAGCGAGTCCCGGAAGGAGGGAGGGCGACATGAAGGGCCCCATGGAAAACGGTAAATTCGTTTGCCCGTTTGAATAAGCGTAACAAACCCTTGTTAGTTGCCCTCGCCCCCCGCACCTCCGCTTAGTACGGTGCGAAAGACGTTCGCCGCACGTGTACGTACGTGGGATGCTGCTGCGGCGGCGTAAACGCGAGAACGCTGGACTCGCAATCCCGAGGTCCGCCCAGCAGCGGTATAGACCTGCACACCATAGTTAGTCCAGCGGCGGGCCGCGTACGGTGGGGCAAAGTGTGGGTGCTCCCGCCTCCTTGAAGACGTCCGGCTGGCGTGGAGTAGTAGACCAAAATACTCTCCTGAGCTCGCTCGCTCTCGTGGAAGTTCTTCCGTCAGCAGGGGCATGTCGCAAAAAAAGCGTGTGGGACTGCATCTTTACCTTCGCATTTATCGCAGTTGTGTGCCATGACGATACCACCACATGCCAGATGCGCCTGGCCCTCCTTTAGCCGGCAACGGGGGAAACATTTTCACGGGGGAATAATAATGGTCACGACTCCCATCTAAACATTTATGGTGTCTCCTCCGTGGATCTCTCTCTCTCACCCAGATACCAGACAGTGACTCCTTGCTGTGCGACTGCCACCTTATTCTAAGGCCATCAAAAGCTGTCGGCCCAAATTCACCGAGGATTAAATTTCACGCTTTCTCGTATGTGTTTTGTGCCGTCATTGGTGACCAGGCTGAGATCATTAAACTCGCCACAGTTGAGAACCCAGTTTAATTACGGGCGTCCGAAGCCCACTTTCAAAACCCAGGAGCTTGGCGGTCTTGGCCCAGTGTATCTGACGCAGATACACAGTATATTACAGCAACGCTGATGCATCGCTGTAAAATACTTACAGTCGCTTAAACCTTTTCGTTTCATAACCGAGTGAATAAGTCATGGTGGCAAGCCTGTTTTGGACAGCAACTTGTTCGCAAATGGTTTCACAAACGTTTGCAAACATGAGCATGCGTACATTGCATAAAAACACGATGTGCTTGGAATCGCTCGTGATATCAGGAGTTGAGGGGGGTGTTTTGTGGGGCGGTGGTTGACGCACTGCACTGTGAGCCAGGCAACCTGAGTTCAGTTCTTAATCTCACGGCTCACATCAGTGGCGAGTAATTGGGATCCTAGGAAGGAGGAGTGCGCTTTATAAATTATTATTATATCTGAACCATCATGCTCCCGCAACTTCTCCCCACCTCCACCAACCTGCACTGACCAGTGTGGTGAGGTCTGGTCCAACCACCGTCATGATGGACATGGGATGGGGAAGCCTTCAGCTTTCTATCATTATCTGGAATGGCCCAATATAGGAATTTTTTGTTTTTTTAAAGAGGCTTTGATAAATCATTGACGAAACGAATTCTGGAAGTCAGGATCAGAATCTTTATTTAGACTGTAAGAATCCGATGAGCTATAAAGCTCTTTTTCACAGATGTCCAGTAGGTGCTGGTCAGAAATTCACAACAACAAACAGTACAAAAAAAACAATAGGAGTGCAAAGTATACGAAAGATAAGCAAGTCACTAAATAGAAAAATATATATGAAGTGGCTCAGGCAGTTAATGTTTATGCCGCAGCTCTGAAAACCAACGCAGTTGAATTCCTGGGTGCCAGCAAGCGTTGCCACCTGTGATCTACACACAGAAATGGGGCATATCGTGAGAAAGAGAAGAATTATCACACGAGAGCGGAGCGCCCGATGTGACTGCGTCGTTTTGAGTGGCGCGTGATGCATTTATTGTTATTACTATTATTATGATTGTGAACGACGCAAATGATAAGATCCACGAAAGGACGGAAAATATTCCCAGGACAGCAGCAACCTCTTATAACGATCCTGGGAAAACAGGTGGCAACGCCGCCCGGCCCGCCTTAGTCAATCCTCGAGTTGAAGAGGGTATTACATTTGCATGGAGAATAATGGTTTCGGACCCCAGCCATCAACAATAGCACAAAGAAACTCATTGTATTGAGACAATGACCTTGGTTTCACACTCACTGTGGGCAAGCCCATCTTTGAGAGCTTAATAAGCACAGAGCAAAACACACAGCTCAGCTCAGCTGTGTGGTTTAGCATTTGGACAACCGGTTAGGGATGTAATCCGTTCATCACAAACGTACAATTTAATAAATTGCCTTTTAAGGGGAAGGTGTAATGTAAAGATGGAAAAATAAACTGTAGCTAATATTGCAAAGGTTGCCGGTTCAATGCCATCTCTTGGCAGGGCAGGCAATAGAATAATGTTTTAATTACCCCCTCAGCCCCCTCCCCAACCCAACAAAATATAATTGGGCACACTACAGTTTTGCCGGTCAGCCTGTCGCGTGTGGTGGAGGAAAGTGTGGGTAGCTCCCTGCTTTTCCACGACGTGTCCAGCGTGAAAGAGTGGGTTGAATTATCCTTTGGGAGGGCTGTCTAGAGCTCCTTCCAGCGGGGGGGCCCTTCCTGCCAGCAGTGGTGTGAGCGAGCAATTTCAGGGCTGCGCCTTTACCTATTTCGCAGGTACAGTCTACACTTAGGCCGTGTCCTGGGCTGAGTCTTCCCATATCCAAATCACCAAACCGCCTACAGTGCGCAGACTGTCATGAAATCGCATAAGCTAAGCAGGTTTCAGCCTGGATATTGCTATAAATGCTTAAAAATGTGTTAGAGGCTGCTGCTCCCTCGGAGCTGCATTGTCAGCATTGAGCCGGGCAGAAAAATCAATGGCTCAACTGTATGATGCTGCAACGCCTATCTTACGCTTCCCGTCTTCACCAACCCGCTCTGACCAGCGTGGTGAAGTACGGTCAAATAACCCCCCCCCCCCCCCCCCGTGACTCGCACGGATGTGGGGAGGCCTTCATCCAGCAGTGGATGGACAGGGGGGCCTCTCTCCGTGTGTAACGCCGCATTCCTTTAATCGACGTGTCGTAAAAAAAGAAGTTGAGAAATGGGGGGGGGTAGGGAGGCAGGGATTTTTTTAATTTCTTGGCCGAGATCTAACGCCAGCTGTGTCGGATTTTCAGGGCACCTGGGCCTCAGCGATCTCTTCACGACATCTGGGGTCTTTGACGTCATGGAGCTCGTTCAAGTCTCCAAGAGTGAGTGTGTCGGTGGTGGCCGAGCCGTCCGTGTGCAGCAGCCCCCCCTTGCCGCCGCCGCCGGCGACCCCCGCCCGCCCGCCCGCCTGCCCGCCCTCCTGCCCCCGCCGCTGCGTTAAAAATTAATAACGGCAAAGACAAAGGGGGGTGTGCGACAATGGCGCGTAGTCATGGGGTCTCCACGGCCGACTGTGCAAAGTGTACGGGGTGTAAGCCTTTAATTATAGCGCGCGTGCGTGCGCGCGCATACATCACGGGGAGCGGGTAGCGCGCCCGGGCGACGGCGGGCGAACGCCGCGACCCCGAGTTCCCGGCCACGGCTGCCGACGTCGGGTGGCGGAGCCACGTCAAAAGCGATCCTCGTCCTACCCTAGGTCGGCTTGGCCTCCAAAGAGGCGTCGGGGAGACGAGAGATGCTCGCTCGCTCGCCCGCGGGACTGACCCCACCCACAGCAGTCTAGCGAGAGGCGGGCGACGTTTTGTCTTTCGCGCGTGTCCGTGTGCGCGCACGTTCGCGCACGTTGGTGCCACGGTGCCCGTGCGCCTCTGCGCGTGCGTACGTGCGTACGTGCGTGCGCGTGTTCACGAGCGTGCACATTTGTGAGGGCGTCGGCGTGGCGGCGAGCGCGCCGGCGCTACGGACCCGGCGGCCACGAGATCGATTCCCGCTCACGGCCAACACCAGTTATGATTGTCTGAACCGGTCCTGGGTTTTCCCTAGGCCGACTCGGCCTCAAATGAGCACCTGGTGCGGCGTGTAAACATCGCGGCCGGGCGTGGTGCTGGCCACCCACCCCCTCGTGTGCCGTGCCGGCCTTCGTAGGTGCTTCTCGCTAACAGCACTTGCCCCAACAGTCTGTTAAGGCTACACGGGGGGATCTTTGTCTTTGTATCGTGAGAGCCGTTGCACAGTGGTTCATTCACTACATTATGATCCCATCATCGCGAGTTCAACTCCCAGTCGCGTAAAAATATCAGCGGTTGTCACATGCTGTCCGAGATTGTCCCGGGCCTTGTGTCGACAACGTGGCCTTTTACGAGTACCCGGTGCGGTGTGCGAACACCAGCAACAGCGAGGAGGCAACGCTCGCCAGACGTAGCCACGAGCCGCACACTCCCACCGTGCGCGGCCATGCCGACCGTGACAGCTGCTTGCTGTCGGCGCTCGCCCCTAGCGTCGACGGAGACGAACGAGGGATCTCCCTCTCTCTCGACGTGTGCACGTGTTTCTACGTCTTCCTGCATCTTCATTAAGTCTGTGTGTGTGTGTGGTTGCGGTGTCCCTGATTTTGTCTCTTTGCCTCTTTCTGCCTCTTGTTGTGTTCTTTTCTTTGTGCCTGTCTCGTCTCTGTTTTACATTTGTGGCCCTGTGTCTCTTTCTCTGTGTATGTTTCTCTCGTTCTATCCACGTCTGTCGTTGCGCATGTCTGCCTGCTTCCATGCGTCTCTCCCCATTCTCTCCTCTTAGCTCCCATCGCGTCAGTCGGAGTGACTGGGTTCAGTCTGCCCACAGGCATGGAGGCCCCATCCTTCCTGGCCTCCATGGCACAGGTCCGGCCAACGCACCTGGGTCCCAGCAGGTACCTTCTTAACCCCACACCACACACCTATACATACCGACACATACCTGCACATATCTAGACCACCTACACATACCAACACACACCTATACATACCTACACACCTACACACACCACAAGTTGGCGTGTGTTCGTGTGTGTGCACGCATTGTGGGGAGTGGCTGTGTAGTGGTTATCACAATGCGCCACAAACTCGCACACCCGAGTTTGGTTTACGCCCACAGCCAACATCGGTGACGAATATCTGAACCGGTCCTGCGCTTCCCCTAGGTCGACTCAGCCTTGAATGAATACCTGGCGCAGTGTCTAAATGCCATCACCGGATCGACAAAGTCGACCGGGCACGGTGCTGGCCACACTACCCAATTGTGTCCCGTGCCGGCCTCCGTAGCTGCTTGCTAATGGCACTTGCCCCTCATAGTCCGTTAAAGACTACACGAGGGAGCCATGACTTTATCTGTGAGGGTGTGTGTGGAGGTGTGTTGCAGTGTGTGGAGGGGAGCGGTGCTGTAGCGGTCAGCGCTAAGAACCTGGCGACCCGAGTTCGATTGCCGCTCACGGCCAACGCCGGTGATGATTATCTGAACGGGTCCTGGGCCTCCCCTAGGTCGACTCAGCCTCAAATGAGTACCTGGTGCAGTGTTTAAACATTGCCACTGGGGAGACAAAGGCGGCCGTTCGTGGTGCTGGCCACTCCCCCCACCCCTCGTGTGCCGTGCCGGCCTTCACAGGTGCTGCTCGCTAACGGCACTTGCCCCAACAGTCTGTTAAGGCTACACGGACGGGTCTTGTCTTTGTATGCAGCGTGATGCAACACAAAGGCTCACCGATGGAGGAGATGGAGAGCCCTGGGGAGGAGTTCTACAGCCAAGAGCGCTCATCCACAGGCAGTGCCCACTCGGGAACGTGGCACAGCGAGGGTTCGTATCGGGAGCGGGATCCTGGGGCCTGAGATCGCGGGATGTCTAGAGGATCCTGGGGTTATGGTGGTCTTGCGATGCGAGGGCGAGCTGGGAAACGAGCGGCTCGATCCACTTCTGCCGGATGAGAAGGCCGCATTGTCAGTTGGTGGTCTCATTGTGGTAGACGCATAGGCACGCATCCCACGGTGTCGTCCCGCTCTTTGTGAGCGTGTTTTTAAATTCCGAGCAAAAACTCCCAGTTATTGTGTGGGGTCGGCCGCTCGTATCTTGTTCCTCCACGTGCTTATCTTATTTTACATTGTCATATTCATCTTATGTTTCGTCTTATTCCATCATATTGATTTTATTTGATCAGATTCATCTTACATATATCTTATTTAATCTTGTTTTATATCACGTGCTTATCTTATTCCTCCACGCGCTTCCATTGTCTGCCTTTTGCCGAGTCACATCCACTCTTCTCGTGTCTCATTCCACCGCATGCTTCCCACCGCACCGTCGGTTCTCCCTCAACTCCTTCTGCCCTACGCCGGCATCTGCCCGGCCCTTCTCCATTGTGTGGTTTTGGTTTAAAGAATCACAGCAATTGCTGCGCAAGTAATCGCTTTCATGTCCTCTGCAGAAGCAGGTGAAATCCATTTTGATATCCCGTTGTTTTTTTGGAAAAGGGAGGGCAGCTCTGATGTCCGTGGTTAAGCAGTCATTTGTTGAGCTCTCATTTGTGGTGGCCACGTTGCTTCTGAAAAATAAGTTAATACCTCAGTGGGCTTTGCCTGGTAGGATGGGGATGGTTTAGTCTTGTGTTTGTTTGTGTTTGGGTGAATTGTTTACCTTGCTTGTACTCTGCACTACTGTCGTGTTTTGTAACTGTTGTTGTAACGTTCTTACCCCATGCCCCTACTGGACATCTGTGAAAAAGAGCTTTATAGCGCATCGGATTCCTCCTGCAGTCTAAATAAATATTCTGATTCTGATAAAACGTCGGCATTGTCAGTGTTAGAGTCCATCCAAAAATTATTGGGCAGTGTTCATCTTCCGTTTACAGCCTTGAACTGGTGACGGGAATTCTGCGTTCCTGTGGCGGGGGCGAGTCTGCCCATAGGATGACCCCTTGTAGGCTTCTCACAAAGTGTTGCTCGGTTTATTCACCCCAGAGGGAATAGAGGGTGGCGTTGACCCCCTGGCTGGCGTTCGAATTCACAACCTTCCCTTTTCCAAGGCGCAGACTCTTAACCATTGCACTACTCAGGCACTTGCACACAGAGAAAGAGAGAGACAGCTGTTATTGTTTTTTTATTTGACCCATGGGGAAGTGATCCTCCTGCTGCTGTCAGTGTTGTTTCTGCACTTATCCCTTTACTCGATGGGAGTCTAATTACAAGGTGTCACATTGTGGCTCTAAATTACAGCTGATGACAACTCGCTGAGCCTCCTGGAACATCACATTAATGTTTGCTAAATAGGTTTGAACAAAAACAGCTGTTTTCTGTAAACCCCCTCGTGTGTCGTGCTGGCCTTAACATAGGTGCTCGCTAAAAGCACTTGCCCCAACAGTCTGTTAAAGGCTACACGGGGGATATTTGTTTATTGTCTCTATGTGGACGAAAGTAGTGGCACTGCGGTTAGCGCACTGCACCACACCTGGCAACCTGGCACCACGAGTTCAAATCCTGGCCACGGCTTAATATGAGCGATGAATATCAGAACTGGTCCTGGACCTTCTTGATGTTGACTCAGCCTTAAACGAGTACCTGTTGCAGTGTGCGAAACATCACCACTCGGTAACAAAAGGTGGCCAGGTGTGGTTCTGGCCACCCTTCACAGCACCATGCTAGCAATCGGCCAACAGCATTCTGCCCCAACAAAATTCGAGCTGTGTTCATGTGTGTACAGTGAGGGAAAAAAGTATTTGAGCCCCTGCTGATTTTGTACGTTTGCCCACTGACAAAGAAATGATCAGTCTATAATTTTAATGGTAGGTTTATTTGAACAGTGAGAGACAGAATAACAGCAAAAATATCCAAAAGAACGCATGTCAAAAATGTTATTAATTGATTTGCATTTTAATGAGGGAAATAAGTATTTGACCCCTCTGCAAAACATGACTTAGTACTTGGTGGCAAAACCCTTGTTGGCAATCACAGAGGTCAGACGTTTCTTGTAGTTGGCCACCAGGTTTGCACACACCTCAGGAGGGATTTTGTCCCACTCCTCTTTGCAGATATTCTCAAAGTCATTAAGGTTTCGAGGCTGACGTTTGGCAACTCGAACCTTCAGCTCCCTCCACAGATTTTTTATGGGATTAAGGTCTGGAGACTGGCTAGGCCACTCCAGGACCTTAATGTGCTTCTTCTTGAGCCACTCCTTTGTTGCCTTGGCCGTGTGCTTTGGGTCATTGTCATGCTGGAATACCCATCCACGACCCATTTTCAATGCCCTGGCTGAGGGAAGGAGGTTCTCACCCAAGATTTGACGGTACATGGCCCCGTCCATCGTCCCTTTGATGCGGTGAAGTTGTCCTGTCCCCTTAGCAGAAAAACACCCCCAAAGCATAATATTTCCACCTCCATGTTTGGCCGTGGGGATGGCGTTCTTGGGGTCATAGGCAGCATTCCTCCTCCTCCAAACACGGCGAGTTGAGTTGATGCCAAAGAGCTCCATTTTGGTCTCATCTGACCACAACTCTTTCACCCAGTAGTCCTCTGAATCATTCAGATGTTCATTGGCAAACTTCAGACGGGCATGTATATGCACTTTCTTGAGCAGGGGGACCTTGCGGGCGCTGCAGGATTTCAGTCCTTCATGGCGTAGTGTGTTACCAATTGTTTTCTTGGTGACTATGGTCACAGCTGCCTTGAGATCATTGACAAGAGCCTCCCGTGTAGTTCTGGGCTGATTCTTCACAGTTCTCATGATCATTGCAACTCTACGAGGTGAGATCTTGCATGGAGCCCCAGGCTGAGGGAGATTGACAGTTCTTTTGTGTTCCTTCCATTTGCGAATAATCGCACCAACTGTTGTCACCTTCTCACCAAGCTGCTTGGCAATGGTCTTGTAGCCCATTCCAGCCTTGTGTAGGTCTACAATCTTGTCCCTGACATCCTTGGAGAGCTCTTTGGTCTTGGCCATGGTGGAGAGTTTGGAATCTGATTGATTGCTTCTGTGGACAGGTGCCTTTTATATAGGTAACAAGCTGAGATTCGGAGCACTTCCTTTAAGAGTGTGCTCCTAATCTCAGCTCGTTACCTGTTTAAAAGACACCTGGAAGCCAGAAATCTTTCTGATTGAGAGGGGGTCAATTACTTATTTCCCCCATTAAAATGCAAATCAATTTACAACATTTTTGACATGCGTTTTTCTGGATTTTTTTGTTGTTATTCTCTCTCACTGTTCAAATAAACCTACTATTAAAATTATAGACTGATCATTTCTTTGTCAGTGGGCAAACGTACAAAATCAGCGGGGGATCAAATACTTTTTTCCCTCACTGTATGTGTCCACACGCATGTGTAGGGGGGGGCAGTAGTGTAGTGGTTAGGGTACTGCGCTACGAACCCGGCGACCCGGGTTCGATTCCCGCTCACGGCCAACATCAATGCTGAATATTGAAACTACTCAAATGAGTACCTGGTGTGGTGTGTAAACATCAGCACTGGGGAGACAAAGACGGCTGGGCATGGTGTTGGCCACCCACCCGTGCCGTGTCGGCCTTTGCAGGTGTTGCTACCAGCACTTGCCTCAACAGTCTGTTAAGGCTCTAGGGAGGGCGGAGATCTTTGTACGTGGTGATAATCGTGACACGTGTGTGACTGCAGAAATGGGCTCCCCAACCATGAAGAAAGCAGAGAAATGCACGTTCAGCCCCACCTCGCCTCAGCAGCCATCGCTCTTCACCCAGCATCACAGGCCCGTCATCACCGCACCTCGCGGTGAGCCTCGGTTTAGTCTGTTGCTCTGTCTCCTGAAGTCCCGGCGTGTCCCAAGCACCGATGTGTCCATGACCACGTCACCACAAGGCATCAATTTAGTCTGGAAAATATTTGGTAGTGCTGCCGCCGCCGCTGTTACATTGGCAGTGATGCACGAGCACAAATAACAAAACAACTCAACGCATTCATCAATAAAATAAGAGGCAATGATTCAGGTATTGGCCAGGCAGTGGTGGCTATGCACATGGCCTGGATCACAGAAATGTTATGAGACTCCCTTCTTGTGGGTGTCGAGGTGCCATACCCTGGCCATCTGTTTCCATCTGTATGGGTTAAGAGTGTTGCTGGGTGCTCCAGATTTCTGGGACTTGTATAAGCACTAAGAAATGTGCGTTCAGAGTATTTGGCTGCTATGCATTTCCACGTGATAAGCAACTTGAGCTATCGTTTGTGGCAAGGTCGCTTCTTAAAAAGGGCTGCACAGTAGCTCAGTGTGCTTTACCTGGTAAAAGAAATTAAAAATGTATTTTAAAATAAAAACCCAATGCAGGGCCCTCCTGAAAAAGAGTAATATGACTCATGGTGGCTGTCTTTGATAAATAAGTTTTTTAAAAAATTTGAAATAAGCAATTCATAGCCGATCATCAATTCCCAAAATATCACGAGTGAGATGATCACGTGCAGCATGAGACTGTTACCCACAGGAATACGAGGCGGCGAGTGGGTGACGTTGCAGCGCACGAGCTTGCTGACCTGTCAAATCATTTTTATTGCAGTCCTTATTTATCTGTGGCTTTTATCTTTCGGTTCTCTGGTTTCCTCCTGCATGTCGGATTCTGTCCTTGTGTATAGGCAAATGTATTCAGGGGCTAAATGCCAATGTCTCGAAGTCTGCTGATCACGAGAGGCCTTCAGGAGAGAGCTTGCTTCCGTTAAAGGAGCACGGATTACAGTGGCTTACTATAGGGCCCGTGCTTTTGGTTGCATGGCCACAATCCCACGAATGTGGCCTGTCTTTAATGCCTCTCCGCATCTCTACATATCTCTGTGTCTCTTTGGGTTTGTATAGCCACAATCGCACTGTAGCCTGCCTTTACATTCACGAAGGACACGTGGGCATCGGCCTGTCGATGTTATGATGCCGTTGATGGTTATACCGCCCGTGTCTTCGAGGAAGATTGTGAAAGCGAGGAGGTGCGTTATTTGAGTCTCGAAGGAGGCGTTTATTCCGGACACGCAAACCACGGTGACTGCTGGTGGGCGTACCACCCGCATTCACCACCGCACCGGCTCGCTTTGTCTTACCCACCCTGTGGTCCTCTCGTCGTCATGAGCGCCGCTTCTCCGCCTTGCACACACACCGTCTCTTACACACACGCACATGCTGTCTCTTACACACACACGCCCCGCACACACACACCGTCTCTTACACGCACATGCTGTCTCTTACACACTCACACACGCTGCCTTTGACACACACACACACATCGTCTCCCTTGCACACACTGGCCGTCTCTGACACACACACGCCCCGCACACACACACACACACACGTCGTCTCTTACACACGCGCCGTCTCTTACACATACGCCGTATCTTCCGCACACACACACACACCCAGTCTCTTACGCAAGCACGCGTCCTCTCGTCCGTGCTTCCCTCCCCCCCTCCCGACAGCTGGCAGGCAGCACTCCCAGCCCCTCCACCTGGCGCCGCCGGCTCCCATGCAGCAGATGAGCGCCCTCCCACCTGTACCGCCGGGGCCGCCCTACTTCTCGCACCCGGCTATCCGCTACTCCCCACACGGCGGCGGCGGCGGCAGCTCCCACGCCCCGCACCCCACGCACGACATCCTCAAGGACTTCGGGCAGATGATCTGTGCGGAGGCGAGCGGGCAGCTCATGGGGCAAGGCCCCTACGGCGCCGTACGTAGCCGCCGGATGGGGGGAGCGCGCGTGTTGAGATGCACCCTCGTTTGGCTTAAGGGACAAACGCTCAACCTGTCCACATACATACCTACCTGTGTGCTGGCCTACCTGTCTGATTACCTGCCTTCATACCTGCTTAACTACATACCTACCTGCCTGTTTGCCGATCTACATACCACCCTGCCTGTTGTCTGCACACTTACGGACATTCCCCACATTCGTACAACTTTTAACGTTGCCGACAGCCAAATTGGTGTTCGTAACTGCCCCTCCACTCTATAATGCTTTCCCATGTCTCTCTTTTAAAAGGAGTAATAAATCTCAGTGGGCTTTCACTTGGTTACATAATGGCGACCGACCTAATTTGCATATAGATGTGCACACAAAACCGGACTGAGCAGAACTGCAAAATGGCTTCTGTTTATCTTTCAGGCGAGCGGAGGTCTGGAGCTGCAAGGGCTAGGCCGCGTTTCCCCGGGCTCTCCCCATGGGCACAGCCCCACGGGGGGAGGGGCCGGTCACCACGGCTACCTGCCCCCCCACTCTGCCCTGCTGCCACCAATGCCCCCACCCGCGGGAGCCATGCCCCGGCCTGTGCCCCTCAATATCTCTGGGCCCCCCGGAGTCGGCGGAGGAGGAGGAGGAGGCGGCGGCGGCGGCGGCGGTGGCGGTGAGGGAGAAGATGGGGCAGCACAAAGCCCGGCTCGGTCGACGCATCAGGGGCACGGAGAGACCGGCCTCGGGTCGCCAACATCTCCCTCGGGTGAGCGCTGGCGAAATCGCCAGGCAGGGATTTCATAATCAGAATCTGTTATTGAGATTGCAGGATAAATCCAATGAGCTATGAAGCTCTTTTTCACAGATGTCCAGTAGGGGTGGGTCAGAGCGTAACAACAACAAATAGTACAAAAGCACGATAGGAGGGCAGGATTATAGGAAAGGTTACAACTAAAACTAAACTATTTTTATGTTACCAGGTAAAACCCACTTGGCTATTAGCTTATTTTTCAGAAGCGACCTGGCCACAAATGTTCGCTCAACGAAGTGGCTTATCGCGTTGGAAATTTATCGCAGCAAAATAATCTCAATGATCTATATGCATGTTTCTAAAATGTTGAATTGGATGTTTGAACAGAAGATGCCAGCGTGAGATCTGGAAACTCCTTCTCCGCGAGGCAGTCTCATTTCCTGGGCAATATGCATTTTTGTTTTGCGAAAGAAATCTGTAAAAATTCCACCACTTAGTTTTTATTTTTTAATAAGATTTTATCTCCCTCATGAGTTATGGTTCAATCTCTCACCCGAAGGGATACCATTGTGTATTGCCAATCATCAGCCTCCTGTTTGCTGCTATCATGCAAACCATTGCTTTTATGATATCTATATATTTTTACGCTGTTTTTTTTTCCAATTATTTTTTTTCCTCACGAATCGAGTTATGCTAAACAGTACTCATCTTGTGAAATAGTTCCATACAGGGCTTAGAGAATATTCGTAACAGCTGCTGCTGCGGCCACACAGAAGCACACACGGCGTCCACCTAAAACATTCGAGTTTTTTTCCCCATCGCGTTTCTAAAGCGGGGGGGGGGGGGGAGCGGCAGTCTTCTTAGGTCCGACCTGCTCCGACCGCCACGTTCAACGCTTTTTTGTTGGCCAATCGCAGGCAGGCAGTCACAAGTAGCACGTTATCAGACACACACCCTCCAGTCACGTGGCTGTTCGAGGTGACATCGCTTCGTTGGAGCCACCCTGATGTCAGTCACAGAACACATGGGATGGATGAGCAAAATAATAATCTGCCATTGGTGAAGCACCTACTTTTAGGCAAATGAAATGATATTTGAAAATATATATTGTTTAGCTGGTAATTAAAACTACCCTAAAATAGTAGATAAGCAGACAATATGTCTCCCTCATATATGTCTCTCCACATGTAAAAAAAATAGATTTTTTTTTGCTTCGGCCATGTAATGATCTGCCAAAATGTATGTCACAAGACCATCCACTTCCTGATGCAGCCAAACAAATTAAATTGTCTCACGTGTGTGTATTTGACGTACTATTCATTATTGTTTCAGTTTGGTTAAATTAGAAGAACAATTCTCATAACCGAATTTAGCCATTTGATATGTTTCGCATGCAACTGCATCGAGCATCTTCAGGACAAGATCCAGGAAGTCGGAATAGAATCCAAATAATATTGGCTGGGAAAATCTACGTCTCGTTCATAAAGCTTATGTACGTAACAGGATGGGGGAGGGGGGTACACAGCCTAGGTATGTATTTGCAAGATAATAGATTAATATTCTTGGGTCGCGTTTTCTTCTTTGCTCAAGGAATGCAGGTAGCAATTTTTATTTCTGGGCATGGCGGCACATTCCTGTAAGTCAACACTTGGGAGGTGGAGTTGGCGGATCGTGCAAATTCGTCATGGAGACATTCGGGACCTACTGGGCCGTGAGGTGGCCTGGAGATGTCAGATCGCTAAGTCGGTTCGTGACCAGTCAGTGTAGAGCTTAGCGTTACTGCGTCATGTGCGAGTCGGTGTATTCTGGGTTACCGTCGTGTGCTCCCGCATGCAAAGCGCTCCTTAAAAAGTAATGGGGAAAAAATATAAATGGAAAACGCCGCCTAAAAAAAAGATATTGGGCTGTGGCTTTTTTCAGACAAACAAATGGTTCGGCCAAATAATGGGGTTGTATCAGCCCTAAGTGTTACCCATTCAAGTGGCGTGACTCCCATCATGCCAAGCAATTCCGTATTCTTACTGATGGTGAATATGAATCACGAGGGTGAAGTTGATGATGCTATTTTTTATTGATGGTCATTATTTTGGTTAATTATTGAAAACGAATATGTTGCCTGGCTGGGTTTTGCTGTCGATAGATCGCTTGGCGTGCCTTAGGGAAGGGTACGTGTTCAAGTCCTGCCTGTGGCACGCTCGGTCCCATCTTCTGTATAGACTGGACGATCGATAGTCAATTCAAAATCGGTGCCACTTAGTGATAAGTCAGCAGTGTTTTGTCCTGGGTTATAATAAATAATGTATAGCTCTTTTTGAATCCACTGCTAGATGAAGAGCTCCCCACATCAGGGCGGTTCTACCATACTTTACCATCCTGGTCAGAGGTGGTTGGTAAAGAGAGGGAGCCTAGAACCAACTCTGATATGACCTATCCACGGACTTTAGCCATAGTCTGGAATTTAACTCAGGTGGCATGGGTACATAGTGAAGCACGTGAACCACTGCACCACCACTCAACCGCCCCCCCCCACACCCCCGGCCATATATGAATGTGGAATTTCAGCCTCTGGCTTAAAACCACCAATGCAGATAACCACTGCTCAGTGTTGTCTTGAGTTATTTAGCTTTTTTTGTAGCTTTTTTAATTGTTCAGGGTGATACCGGTGGTGGTTATGTTCATGTTTTTAAGGATGAAAATTCTGATAAGGATGATAATACTAATGATAGTCACATTGCTCGTGTTTTTAAAGATTGCGATACTCTTTAATGAAAGCGACCGTGATATTTTTTTAATACTGATGCTACCAATGTTCGTGGTGATTGCGTTTAATAAATGTTTAATTTCTTTTGCACCGTACGTAGCCAGCCATGCTAATCGAACGTGCGAGGACAGCTAAACACAAAAAGCTGTTCTGAAGAAACGAGTTTTCAACTTAGACCTAAAAGGGCACATAGCTCCAGTGGCTTCTTAATATCGGAAAAGCGTTCCAGACGGCCGCAGAAGCGCGTCTGAAAGCGCACGATGCAGTGACCCTCTTTGTTCGATGGTTAGCCAAATGTTGCTGCGAGGATGACCAGAGTGTGCGTGATGGCGGAGATGTTACGAACGACGATGATGTGTTCACGCTGCAGGTTCCAGGGACCCGGGCAGTCCTCCTTCAAGTCGCTCCTTCGTCAACCTGGGGACAGGCCGTGAACCAACGTACATCAATCTGCAGCCGCAAACGCAGGTACATATCAGGCGACAATGCGTCTGTGCTTGCACGTGCGTCCATGTGTCTGTGTGTCTTGTATTTTCGAGCGGCGGTGTAGCGGTTAGCACAGCGCTACGAACCTGGCGACCCGAGTTCGATTTCTGCTCATGGCCAACATCGGTGACGAATATCGGAACCGGTCCTGGGCCTCCCCTAGGTCTACGCGGCCTCAAATGAGCACCTGGTGCGATGTGTAAACATCGCCATTAAGGGAGCCATAGGCGGCCGGGCGTGGTGCTGGCCACCCACCCCCCTCGTATGCCGTGTCGGCCTTCATAGGTGCTCGCTAACACCACTTGCCTCAACAGTCTAAGGCTATACGGGGAGGGTCCGTCTTTGTTTTCAAGCAGTAGTGTGGCAGCGATTAGTGCACTGCGCTACGAGCCTAGCAACACGAGTTAGAGTCCTGCCAACGGCCAACTCCAGTGACGATTTTCTGGAAGGGTCCTGGGCCTCTGTTAGGTCGACTCAACCTCAAATGACTACTTGGTGGTGCAATGTGTAAACATCGCTATTATGGAGGCGAAGGTGGTCATGCATGGTACTGGCCACCCACCCCCTCGTGTGCAGTGCCGTCCTTCATTGGTGCTTGCTAAAGGCACTTGCCCCAACAGTCTGTTAAGGCTATATGGGGGATATTTACCTTTGGTCGTGCTTGCAGATATGTGTTTGTAAGCGAGTGCATAACCACCTGATATATCTTCTGCTATATATGTCTGAAAGTCAGTTGGGAGTCTTATGTAAGTCGATAAAGATAAGGGTGACTTGAATTTCTCACGAAGGCTGTAAGGTCACAGTTATGTAATGGCTGTGTTTTTGTTAGGTTTAAAGTTTCCACTGCTCTGCAAGAGTTGCGCGTGGTAACTTTGACTCGTGACATGGCACCGACACCGACAGCACAATTGGGATAACGTTGCGGGAAAATTTAGTTTATTTAATAAGTGTTAAGTTTGCATCCATACAGAAATAACCCTTCTAAACTTGCTGTATTAGCAGCTGTGTCTGTGGCTTATTACTCTCTTAAGATATTGCTATCCATGATTTTATACCTGGCCATGATGCATGCATTACACTGACATCTGTTATCTGAACCTTTTCTGGGTTTCCCCAAGGTTTACTAAGCCAGACATATGTGGTATGTGTAGCCATGACCGCCAGCTTGATTGACGAGTAACTGGTTGTGACCCCATCACTAGGCTGGTTTTAATCGTTGCTCACGAACAGGACTCATCTCAACTGTCTATCCAGGCTAAATAGATATTTGCGTGTGTCGTGTCTCGAGTCCTACATTACACATGTGTGTGTATGTGTATATGTATGTGTATATGCATGAGTGTATGTGTGTGTGTATGTATGTGTGTGTGTATGTGCGTGTATGTGTGCTGATCGATGCCCGGGTGCGGTCAAGGGATGGCTCCCTATTGCTCAACCATGTTATGTATGCCGTTGATTTGTTAATAGCTGCTCATTCAGAGGAGGAGTTGGAGACGCTGCTGCTGAGACTGGAGCGTGCCACTAAGAGATATGGGGCCTTACCATCAGCCCCACCAAAACTAAGCACCTGCCTGGGTATTTTGTACCATTGGACACTCCACCCCCACAACTCCTAATCGGTGATGGGACAGTTGTGGAGAGAGTGGAGAGTTTCCCATACCTGGGCAGTGTGCTTATGACCGGCTCCAGTTTAACAGCAGAGGTCTCACTCCGAATCAGTCGAGCGGCAATATCTTTTCATCGGTTGCGTAACGCTGTGTGGAAGCTACCTGGTCTGTCGCTCCGCACTAAGCTTCAGGTCTTCTCGGCCACGGTCATTCCCTCCCTTCTCTACGCTTGCGAAACGTAGACCCCTTTAATGGAACATCTTCGCTTGTTAGAAACATTTAGGCTAGCCTGCCTACGATCTATCCTGGGTTTAACCAGGCTGGATTGTGTGAGGAGCTCACTAATCCTTGAAAGATCTGGGCAAGGTCCCATCGGTGAGCTCCTCCGGCAGGCAAGGCTGCGTTGGCTGGGTCATGTAGCCCGCATGCCCAGCCACCGCATGCCGAAACAGCTTTTGTTCGGCCGGATCGAGGGGGCTAAACGGGCGCGGCACGGGCTAGAGAAGAGATGGAGTAATGTGGTACAGGAGGACGTGGGGCTGAGTGGACTTGCCGATGATTGGTACCAGCGGTGTCAAGATCGGCCTCTGTGGAGGAGGCTCGTGAAGGACGCTACTGGGCAATTGGAGGCAGTCGGCCTCCAACAACAACGGAGGGCGGAGGAGCGACGCTCACAACAACGAGCGGAGCGCCGGGTGGCTAAAGCACAGCAGGTTGGCACAGTAGGGGGCACAGGTGGTGCATCAGCCAGCCGTCTCAGTCATCTTAGTCAGTCGACCCGTGGCACTTGGGTCTGCCCCGTGACCTCCTGCCAGCGGGCGTTCGACACTTCACGTGGCCTCAAAAGTGCACATGGCCTGGCACAAGCGTCGTGGTGACGTCACCGCCACTTAGTGGCAAATGGCGGTTGTTGTTGTTGTGTGCTGCACGTAGTGCAGTGGTTAGCACGCCGCTAACTAGGAGCCTGGCGATCCGAGTTCGATTCCCGCTCACGGCCAACACCGGTGGCGATTATCTGAACCGGTCCTGGGCCTCCCCTAGGTCGACTTAGCCTCAATTGAGTACCTGGTGCGGTGTGTAAACATCGCAACTATAGGGAGACAAAGGCGGCGGGGCGTGGTGCTGGCCACATCCCTTCGTGTTCCGTGTCGGCCTTCATAGGTGCTCGCTAACAGCACTTGCCCCAACAGTCTGTTAATGCTATACGGGGGAAGCTTTGTCTTTGTGCTGCACTTATTGTTGATGTAACTAAATAACGATCGGATGATCAAATAAAGGCAGCCATCCAGGCTGACCGACTTTTGGGCATTTTGAGCCTTTGGAATTTCAGCTGAATTTTAAGGATGTTGTTTATGCTTCAGGCTTGCCGCTTAGCAGCTCGTGTTGACACTCGATTGTTGAATGCACAGAAAGGGAGGGAAATAAGCTTGTGGTTAACCGTACTTCATCTGCGCTTGTACGCACTAAAACACAGGGGCATTAGGGATAATCACCTTGAACATACAGCCATGAGGATTAATAGGCGTAACTCTAAAATCTGACGTTTTCGAGTTCAAATGTTAAAATGAATATTGCTTTGTGGAACGTTACCGGCCATGGGAATGTGGAGTTTCCAAACACCTAGCAGATGCGAGTACCACGTGAGCTGTCGGTTTGGGCAGGGAGACACTTTCACCTCTTCACTTTACACTGCAAGTTGGCTGGCTTACAATGCCACAATGGCTGGTGGCAATCATCGACGTGCAAATACAAACGGGGGGCAAATTTTACCCACGTCTCAACAACAACAACAACAAACATTTATAACTGGCGACGTTTCGTGCAAGGGCCCTTCTTCATAGAAGCATTCGATGGAGCCGCTTGCGTGGAAGGAATTATCTGGAAGAATGGTCTCGTTGATCAGTGGATGAAATGTCATTTCCCTTCGGAGATGAAACCAAACCTGTCCGTGTGTATATTTACTGCCTCTTATTGTATTTAACACAACAAGAAGCAGCAGCAACAGCAAAGTCGTTGTGTTGCTATCCACGGCTGCTGTCTGCAGTGGATCCCAACAGGCGCGGCTTGTGGACTGCCCCTTGGAAGAAAAAAAATCAAACAACTTTCCGACCGTACCATTGTCGACTTGGGGGGGGGGGGGGAATTACTCTAGCGGTGGTACTATAATTGTACAGTATTAGCAACGTTCTCCGTAATGTACGAAACATTTACGGGCGGGGTTAAATCCTCGTCTTAAGTAGCTCAGGGAGGGGGGGGGGGGTTACGTTTACGTGGAAACGTGGTGTCAAGTTTTAACACAAAAAAACATTGATGGGCGGGTTTCGTGGTGGTGGCTGCGATTCGGATGATCCACGCACACGGCGGGGGGGTGGGGGCAACCATTGGGGGTGGGGGGCAACCATTGGGGGGGGGGCAACCAGTGTGGGGGCAACCAATGAGGGGAAGATTCCCTCCCCCCCTACCCAACACCCCCCACGCCGTTGGCTCGAGTTGGTATGCGCCCACCACCATCAATAACACAGCACAAGGGTGGGAGTGTGCGCGCCTCTCGGCCATGCATCACCCGCTGTCACTGAGGGCTTTCTCCTCTCTGCCTGAGCCCTCTATACATTCATTATTTAGTTAGTTTGATGCGACTGTTTAGCTACCCCCCCCCCCTTTTTTTCGTCTACAACATTCTAATTTGCTGTAATGCGTGTCTTCTCTTTCATTGTGCCGTACCCATGTCGTTGATAATGCATGCGTTATTTTTTCCTACCCCCTTCCAAGTAAGTTACAGTACACTCGTTGAGGTAGAATATATTCGAAACGAAAGAATGTAATAACCGCAAAACAACATTTCACAGACTAAACTTATATCTACAGCCTATTTTGTTGTTCGTGTATGTATTTAAACGGGCGCAATAACTTATGTATGGTGAACTTCTTTCGCACCGTACGTAGCCAATCGGAGTTGCGGGAAAGGACAACAAAACTCTAAACACCATTTATCTTTAAACGCAATTTTTAAAAACCAATTCAGTTGTATAGATTTTTTAACATCATCCAATCTTCCCCTCATGAAGTACAAACTTTCGCAAACTTAACGTTGACTTTCTACTGGTTGGGTGGGGGGGCTCGCGGCTGCAGTGGCAGCAGCAGCGGCAGCGGCAGTCACGTCCCTGCCGTCTCGTTGCCACGGGCAACCAGACGTGATGTCATCACCCCTTGAACTTGAACTTGCGTGGGGGTGGGTGGGTGGGGCCTGGCACAGCCCAGACCGGAGCAATCGCCCCTCCGTGGACGGAGAGAGCGACGGTTGGTGGTGGGGGAGGGGGAGAGTGGTGGGGGTGGGGGGAGAGTGAGGGTGGTGGGGGTGGGGGAGAGTGAGGGTGGTGGGGGGAGAGTGAGGGTGGGGGAGTGAGGGTGGTGGGGGGAGAGTGAGGGTGGTGGGGGTGGTGGGAGTGAGGGTGGTGGGGGAGTGAGGGTAGTGGGGGAGAGTGAGGGTGGTGGGAGAGTGAGGGTAAGGGGAGGGTGGGGGGAGAGTGAGGGTGGGGGGAGAGTGAGGGTGGGGGGAGAGTGAGGGGAGTGGGGGAGAGTGAGGGTGGTGGGGGAGGGTGGGGGTGGGGGGAGAGTGAGGGTAGGGGGAGGGTGGGGGGAGAGTGAGGGTGGTGGGAGAGTGAGGGTAAGGGAGTGAGGGTGGTGGGGGAGAGTGGGGGTGGTGGGGGTGGGGGGAGAGTGAGGGGAGTGGGGGGAGAGTGAGGGTGGTGGGGGAGGGTGGGGGTGGGGGGAGAGTGAGGGTAGGGGGAGGGTGGGGGGGAGGGTGAGGGTGGGGGGGAGGGTGGGGGTGGGGGGAGAGTGAGGGTGGGGGGAGAGTGAGGGTGGGGGGAGAGTGAGGGTGGGGGGAGAGTGAGGGTGGGGGGGAGAGTGAGGGTGGGGGGAGAGTGAGGGTGGGGGGAGAGTGAGGGTGGGGGGAGTGAGGATGGGGGGAGGGTGGGGGTGGGGGGAGAGTGAGGGTAGGGGGAGGGTGGGGGGAGAGTGAGGGTGGGGGGAGAGTGAGGGTGGGGGGAGGGTGGGGGTGGGGGGAGAGTGAGGGTGGGGGGAGAGTGAGGATGGGGGGAGGGTGGGGGTGGGGGGAGAGTGAGGGTAGGGGGAGGGTGGGGGGAGAGTGAGGGTGGGGGGAGGGTGGGGGTGGGGGGAGAGTGAGGATGGGGGGAGTGGGGGTGGGGGGAGAGTGAGGGTGGGGGGGAGAGTGAGGGTGGGGGGAGAGGGAGGGTGGGGAGAGTGAGGGTGGGGGGAGAGGGAGGGTGGGGGGAGAGGGAGGGTGGGGAGAGTGAGGGTGGTGGGGGAGTGAGGGTGAGGGAGTGAGGGTAGTGGGGGAGAGTGAGGGTGGTGGGGGTGGGGGGAGAGTGAGGGTAGTGGGGGAGTGAGGGTGAGGGAGTGAGGGTAGTGGGGGAGAGTGAGGGTGGTGGGGGAGGGTGGGGGGAGAGTGAGGGTAGGGGGAGGGTGGGGGGAGAGTGAGGGTGGGGGTGGGGGGAGTGAGGGTGGGGGGAGAGTGACGGTGGGGGGAGAGCGAGGGTGGGGGGAGAGCGAGGGTGCGGGGAGAGCGAGGGTGGGGGGAGAGTGAAGTTGGGGGGAGAGTGAGGGTGGGGGGAGAGTGAGGGTGGGGGGAGAGTGAGGGTGGGGGGAGAGCGAGGGTGCGGGGAGAGCGAGGGTGGGGGGAGAGTGAAGGTGGGGGGAGAGTGAGGGTGGGGGGAGAGTGAGGGTGGGGGGAGAGTGAGGGTAAGGGAGTGAGGGTGGGGGGAGGGTGGGGGTGGGGGGAGAGTGAGGATGGGGGGAGTGGGGGTGGGGGGAGAGTGAGGGTGGGGGGAGAGTGAGGGTGGGGGGAGAGGGAGGGTGGGGAGAGTGAGTGTGGGGGGAGAGTGAGGGTGGGGGGAGTGGGGGTGGGGGGGAGAGTGAGGGTGGGGGGAGTGGGGGTGGGGGGAGAGTGAGGGTGGGGGGAGTGGGGGTGGGGGGAGAGTGAGGGTGGGGGGAGAGTGAGGGTGGGGGGGAGAGTGAGGGTGGGGGGGAGAGTGAGGGTGGGGGGAGAGTAAGGGTGGGGGGAGAGTGAGGGTGGGGGGAGTGGGGGTGGGGGGAGAGTGAGGGTGGGGGGAGTGAGGGTGGGGTAATGATGCAGAGGGTGGAGCCACACAAGACCGCAGGCAAGAGTAGTCGCTGACCGAGCGATATTTTGGGAGACTTGATTTTAATTGAAGCGAAAACGAATCAGTTTAACGCACAAGTAGTCGGCTTTCGCGACCAATGTTAATCATAGTAAAGGCCTTTTTCGGGGGGTTAGATTGCGTAAAAATAAATGTATCGTCAAACCTGCCACCACCCGGCAGAGCCAGTTGGTAAGATGAACTGGCCAATCGCCTGATGAAGCTGGTTGTATTCACCACGCGAATTGTTTAAACGTTTGCTGAACTAGTAACGAATTGGCACGTTTTGTTTACTTGAAAAACCTTACTAATTGGCTGTGTCGGGTGGTGGCGGGTTTAACGACACATTTATATTTACGCGATCTAACACGAAAAAACCCTCTAAGTGAAAGACAAAAATTATATGATGCGTTGTATGTATGTTGAACTTCTTTAGCACCGTACGTAGCCAACCGTGCTAATCGGAGGTGCGGTGGGAAGACAACAAACTGAACACAAAAACTCACTTCTTTAAGAAGTGAGTTTTCAATCGAGAAGAAATCACTTTTCAATCTAGAGAAATCAGTTCTTCTATTAGCCTTGTTATTTTTGTGCTAGTCGTGTCATGTTGATGCACGGCCATGTCATGGGAAACTTCACCACTTACAGTTACGTTTTTGAATTTATCATGGTTGTTTGTTTGCTGCAGTCCGCTTTTATGAGGTGTAACCAGGTTACCAGGGCCTCCACCAACGAAAATTAGCATTTATTGCCCGGTGGGATTTACCTGTGGCCAAAATAAACCCTAAACTTGATCCTCGTCTTTTTTTTTAGAAGGCTGCGAGTGTGGTTGTGGATGTGGATGGCATAGGGGGGGGCGGTTTCCCTTGAGTTGGCCACTAGGCAAAAAGCAATAATTGACCCACTTTATTTGCATCTCTGATGTTTGCTTGAGGAATTATAAGAACCGCGATGCCCTCTGGTGGCTGTCGTGTCGCATTTATATTTGTGGTGTCACGCCTGAAACAAGTTAAATTGAGTGGAACACGTTTTTTTTGTCTATTTCATGCCACATGGCACCATAATTGGCTTAGAGTTGCGAATAATAAAAATTGGGTAACGCAGTATCTGGTGATGCTGCTGCTGGATTGGCAGCGGTACACAAATTGCAACAGCAAAACCCAACACATTCGTCAATAAAAATACTCTGCCCTTAAAGTTAAATATTTATATATCATAGGCGACGTTTCGGCAATGATCCTTCACAGCATATCAATTATGTCCATCCATATTATTTTAGGGCACTGGTGTTGCATTAAATAGTTGGCAAAATAATTCCGCTTTAAATAAAATGGATGTTTACACTCAATGTATATACATTTGTATACTATGTGAGTAAGTAGGATGAGTTTTTTTTAATAACCTATACTATTTTGATTTAAAGCTTTCGTGACTGTAGGGATTCATATTCTTGGTTCTTTCCGTAAAGTCACGTAGAAGGGAAACAATAAAATATCCACATATACATATACAAACACAGAGACAATTTCAACCGAGAAGATGGATTCTGGCTTAGCAATCATTGGAAGGATTTGATAAACCATTTCGGGTCTTAATTGATTGTTCACGCTTACGGTGGCTTTCAGACCGCATCCATTATTTTCGTCTCCCCCCTCCTCTTTTCTGAACATAGATGGACTCGTCCATCTGAATAACTGCCAAATCGCTCTCCGTGGTGCTAACATTAAAAAAACGCCACTTTTTTCAAATTTTCTTGCTGTGGTTTTCACACCTGATGATGATTGCTTGTGTTGCAGTCGAAACGTCGTGAGAATTTTATTGTTTTATATTTTTATTATTTTATTGTTTCCCTTCTTCGTGACTTTACCGAAAGAACCAAGAATATGAACCTATACTATTTTAAATAAAAAGTGAATTCGAAACCCCAGAATGTGTCACAATCGTTTTTTTTTCCGGCCTTGTTGGCTAAATATTGAAATACATTTGTGATTATTTTCCCGAGGTAGCCTCACGGAGCAGAGCGTGAATATTGTCCTCCCACATTTGTGGGGCTTCTCCGTGCAATACACTTTACTCGCGCAAGCATCACGACATTTCTGAACGGAGGTGGCCAAACGTCCCAAGCGGGTAAAGGCGCATGCCACTTCCGTCGGAAAGGCTTCCACTGGAACAAGCTCTCGAGCCCCTCTCGAGGATATTTGGTCTAGTACTCCATGGTCAGACGTCTTGGAAGAAAGTGGGAGTACCCACACTTTGTCCCACCACACGCGACCGGCCTTATAGACTGTGTATGCACGTTGAACTTCTTTTTTATACTTCTTTCGCGCACCATACGTAACCAATCGTACTAATCGGAGGTGCGGATATACCACTGAATATAAATAGATAACCAATTATATTGCTGCGTGGACAGACAAATGCATGCCCTTTATACCTCTGGGCGGACAGAGGCACGGAGGGGATTTAAGGGACGTGATTCATTGTTTCAATGACTGTGCCGGCAAATGGAATCTTGGGATTGTAAGTCCAGTGTTGTTGTATGGTTGTCCCATGGAAACGGCTCTCCACTATAGGAGAACATCTCTAGCTCATAACCAGCAATGAAAAATATGCGGTGCACTTGCCTTCACTCTATCTCAGGCTTTCTTGGCTAAAGGCTTGAATGGCTAATAATAAATTGCGACACGTGTAAATGTTTGGAGTAATGTTTTGTCAATGTTTATCTCTTCCTCCCTCTCCCGCTGCAGCAGTCCTGGTATTTAGGTTGAAGCCTTCATCATTTTCCTGTTACGAAGTCACGCAACTGCAAGTCGCCACTCACCCCAGACTTTGCGTTTGACTCGCAAAAGCGGTCAATGTAAGCTGGGCGTAGTTTTTTTTTTTGTCATTTGAAAAATCTATTCTTGTTATTTTAAATGTAACGTTCTTCCAGTCGGAGCGTTGGAATGGAGAACTGACCATCAAATAAGAACTGAGATCGACCAAGCTCTGTAACGGAGGTTTGAGTGTCGTACAGATCGTCAAGATTGTCCTGAGAGAGTGTGCCCACAATGGGTTGTGAGTGGCAGCCAGTGGTTGGCGAGAGAATTTGCTGACCACCTCCTCCCTCGCCCCCCCCCCCCCCCCCCCACCAAGTGAGTGAAAGAACGGTCTCTCAAGGTCTCCACGGGCAGCCGGGGTGGGGGGGGGCATCGTTCTGCAGAGCTGGCCGATTCGACGAGAGGATGAAGGAGAGACAAAGGTGGTGGTAGTGACAGAGAGGTCTGGTTTGTTGAATTTTTTTTTTACTATAAGTGCGAGTTTGTAGAATTACCTTAGGATTTAAGGTGGGAAATATTTTTTTTTAAATCGATTTTATTTTGAATGACCAGAAATTAGATCAAATTGTGTTATTTTTTTTGTTCGCATTCGCACGCCCGCACACACGTTCACGCACACGCGCACACACATATACAGATGCACGAAACACCTTGTGCTTTCCATTGCACTTAACAAGTGTCCACACTTGCATGCACCTAGAAAATGGTAAAAGCTCAACAATTGTCAGAATTGTCCAATTATTATATCATTATTCTCTTGAGTCTTTTTAATATCTCGCAGCACTCACACACTTGTACGAACGAGCATGAGAGCCTTTTATTAGCATGAGTTGTCAACGTAGCGTACAGGTAGCAGATGTTAAAGGTAGAGTTTTAACAAAATTTTCGCAAAAAATCACGTTAGCCGACAAAATTATTTACTCTAACTAGATGCAGAGCGTTACAAAAATGTAATACTGTACTATGTCAGAATTACTCTGAGAATATACAGACTCTTCACGCATGCAATTCAGTGAATTGGGTCAGGTTGATGGATCGCGCAAGCATGGGAGTCTTGATTCTCCGATTATAGCGAGAGTCGTGGTTATATACACGAGATACACCCCATTTCTGGGCAATATCCTGTCGTAGGCAGTACGCAGGCGTGTTCGCATCAGGCTGTCTCTGCAGAGTGTAAGTGTTCGTCTCATTTGCGAGGCTTTTCTCTCTCGGCACTCTGGCCTCTTCTTACACACAAACAAAAATACTTTGCTTCAATGTCCGAATAACGGGACAGCTCCACAAAATTAGCCTTTGAGACTCGAGCACTCTGGAATTCAAATATTTCAAAATTTTCAATCTTCGTTTGCGATTTGTGCATCAGCCCGATTGCAAAATATGCAGCCGCAAGTCGAGTCTGTTGCCAGAATATACTTCTAATATTCAAAGGATCTATAAACGGTCTATGTAATGACCAGTTGCTGATTGGATGGACACATTTACTCGTACTTGATTGGTCGACCGCCGCGTGCTTTTATTACGCGATTGGTCCGTTGTTTTTCGTTTATGGTTGGTTGGTTCCAGCTAGCTCGGTTCCAGTTTTTTCTGCCCTCTTGTTTGGGGGCTCTCACGTGCCGATTGGCTGGCTCTTCGCCGCTGCTGCTGCTGCTGCTGATTGGCTGTCTCGCTCGTTGATAATGTGATCCGTGTTTCTGATCTTGGCTCCGCTAAAAATTATACACGAAATTGTTGCCTCCGACGCAACAGCACTTTCGCGATCTTCTCGTAATTATGATGGCAACAGTATCATAGAAATTATTTTTGGAGACAAGTGCAATGAGGTTTAGCGTCTTATTATGGTTATTATTATCATTCATAAAAAAAGGTTCATAAAAATAACTCGTAATAACATAACAACAAACGAATGGTATACATTGAAATGTGGCCTGTTCATAGGTGGCAAAAAAGTAGCAGGTTAAAAATGAAACTATATATTTGTAAGTAGCGCGAAAAAAGTAATTTTTTTAGCGCCAAAAGTGTTCAACAGTCCAAAAGCCCCTGGACTCTAAAACGGAGGTTTATTTATGATATAAAACAAATGTCATGGACATGGAGCTAAATATCGGTGAATTGATTTTCAAACAGAAATATAAAATCGTGAATTCTTCCCTCTAATGTAAAACACTATGCGCTCAGACCATTTTAACACCATGCTATAGAACGCGTATGTATATACAGTACGTAGTGTGCGTGTAATTTTCACAGAGCAGTACATAATTGTGCACAAAAATACACTACAAGCAGTATAACAATAGCACTTATTAAGTATGATCTGAAAGTTTTAAACAAAAAATATATATACAGTATAACTTTTTTTTAACTATATTTAGCAACAGGTATGTTTACATGTTGTGGAAATTAAAAAAAAGTGTAATGGGTAAAAATTACAACTTTTTCACGGTTTAATTCTGTTGCCCTGCATATGATTGAACCTAAATGCACTAATTTCTAATGCATATGTTATGGATGGGGAAACATTGCAGCTATGGATGGGAGTAGTGGATTGTCGCAGGTTCTGGTGTGACTCGCAGCTTAATTAAGTCAGTGTTTTGTCGTTCATGGGGCGACACGCTCCCAGTGTTGGCGTGATGGTAAGAGAGAGAGAGAGACATTCGTGGTGCCAGTGGGGCGAATGGGACTCTGGCTATGTTTTGTTGGCTGCTTCCAAGTGCTTTTATCTACGTAAAAATACCACCCGGCGCCCCCCCCCCCCCTACATTTGCAGAAAATGGTCCGGTCCACTCTTAAAAACACTGAGCACCTGCAGTGCAGGAACGTACCACTTATTTCGGTGTCTCTGTACAGGTGCGTTTGTGTGTGTGACACACGGGGAGGGCGGATGTTCGAAAAGTTTTGAGAACGGGATGTTGAAAAGCTTCAACGACTGAGTATGGGTTAATGTGTGTACGTGTGTTGAACTTCTTTCGCACAGTACGTGACCAAGCCGTGCTAATCGGCGGTGTAAAGATGCAACCCTGCAAATTGCTTTATTGTGCCACTGCTCACAGGAAGGATGTCCACTTGTGGGAAATCGACAGAGTCCCGCTAGAGGGTATTTGGCCTACTCTTCCATACTTACATGAACAATATGCAAATGTGAGACATCCAAAGTGAAGACAACATCCGGCTGGGTCAGAGCACTTGCCTTAAAATGAGAAGGTTGAGAATTTAAATATTCGGTGAGGTTTCGTTTCGGCCCATTGGCCTTTTGGGGTCAATACAATTCGTACCATATTGCATTGCGGTTGTATGTTGACAGCAGAGAGCAGTGCAGCAAAATCCACTGTTTTTAATGTACCATGCTCCACTCACTGTGCTCTCAATGTTCACCAAGCCACAGTGTGGTGAAGTACGGTTCAACAACCTCCACGACCCGCACGGCGTGCAGAGGCCTATACACATGGCCATTCTGTGGATATACTGGTCCTCTCCATGGGAAGGTGGAATTTTCACCATTAACAGAAGGCCACCAAATAGAGATAAGCACCCCCCCCCCCCCCCGACCCCGTTGCTTGTTTGAGGTGGGAGACACCTGTACTTGAGACTGAGGCAAACATCACTTTCCGTGAAGCTCTTCCCACATCCCGATCTCAAATGGCTTTCCCTGCCCCCTAATACTGTAATCACGCAGCGCGTGACTGCGTGCGTACACACGTGCCGTACGTGTGCACATTTACAACCGTAGTATGCACACGTGTGGACGCGTCAACCGGGCTCTTAAAATCGGGGTTCACGTGTGCTGATTTCGCAGGGATTCGCAGATTCAAAAGTGCGTTCTTACTTTGAGGTTGCTGGAGATTACGGACCGTTGACAACCCGACGTAAACTGATCCCATCTTGAAACTGACCCATTTCGTACCCCATTGTCCAACCGGCCATGCTCAGGGGTCGGCGACTTGCAGCTGTGAAGCCGTGCTCCTTTATGGACGCTAGTGCGGCTCTTGAAATTCGAAAAGAATGGCTCCTCTTGTTACTTTGGTTGCTGACCCCTGGCCATGTTGAACCATCTCGGCGCCGCTCATGAGGCCCCACGTTTTTCCACTGCAGAAGTCGAGCCGTGCCGCTGACGTCACGCGCAATGAACGCAATGTTAGCCCCGTCTCCTGGCCCCGCTTGGTCCCAAGCCAGATTCAGATGCCTCGTGATGGCCAGGCGACCGCAAAGTTTGGAAAAACCACACATACCGTGACGGCCCTGTGGTGGCTCAGCTCGGATGTGCCAGTGGAACATGGGTATTAGGTGCCGCTATCAATCGGTTGAATTCGCTTTGGAGAATTTAGTAAAAGTAACACACGTACGGCTCAAGCGTGAATCGAAAATGAGACCGAGCGTGAGAGTACCGATGCCTTGCTCCCATGTCCAAAAGAAACCTCTTACGTAGACATATAGCTTTCACCTTACTCTATACCCGGGATTGATTGAGCAGCTGAAGCTCTTGGCTGGCACTGTGCCCAAGGGCTCAAGTCACAACTGGAAGGATGCGAGTTAACATGCCAGGAGTGGGTCAACTGAAGCCCATCATCCCTACGGGGGTTGATGGGAACGAACACGAATTTGTCGCTTGTTAACAGTGGTTGTATTATGGATAGACTGGTCCTCAACATCGGAATGTGGAATTTCCACCTCGAGTTCATTGATATGAACAGAGATGAGTACTGCCCAGTGTGCATTAGAATACGGATACCCTTTCACCCTTTATTATAACTGCAAATGAAATCCTAATGTTTTTAACATAATCATGTGTAACTCTATTTGATAATGCTAACCATTAATTATGGAACACATTGGGATGAAGATCGTCACCCACAATAACGAGTGGGTGACCTATTCCAATCTCCACATCTCTCAAGAGCGAAAGTCCGATCGTTATAGAGTTTGCATCCACTTCCAGTCTACGTCGGGTTGCACATGGAATCACCGTGCAGTTACATTGCACGCACTGACCCTGACCCCGACGTGAACCCGGTTCAACCCCTGTGCCACCTCCGTGGAGCTGCCCATCTGCTCTGAACAAAGAGGCCTTGCGCTGTGGTACGGAGTTGTCATCGTCAAAGTGTGTCCGAGAGTTCAAAACCTGATTGACTTTGGCGGTTGTTGTTTGTGGCAGTGTTCTGTGGTCAGGCTTCCCTTTTACTTTTTTAAAACTCTCCTTCTGTGATTTACTCACGTTTTGCCTGGCAACCTGGCAGTGATGTAACAAAAATTCGGTTCAATGCAAATCGTTCGTCCTTTATCTAACCAGCTGGAAGCTCTTTGAGAGATGCATTGTGTCCATTGGGACCTGCAATGGGAAATCTGTGGAGGAAATCTCGTGATTATTATGGATGTAACAATTCTGCCCATTCCACACTTCAGTTTGATGACTTGTCAAGATTTGGGGTCACGATTCCATTCACAAATGGGGTGGTTTTTCCTTTGCTCGCCATTGTGGTGCCTGTAGATTCTATAGTTCTATAAAAACGAGTGGCATACATTAATCGCAAACAATTGATCCTCACATGCACGATTCAACGAATGTATTGTGAGCGTAAAACATAATTTTAATTGGCTTCGTTACCTAATAGTTTTTCATTTGCGATAGCTCTATTAGGTTTAATTTTAACAGTAATTTGGACGAGGATAACAATAATTATATACCGCGCAATGACTGCATGAATATGAGAAATCACAGGATCTTTAACACCTGCTTTACAGCAGACAGAGATGCTTTGTTAACTCCAAAGTGAAATGAGTGGCCAGTTTCAACGTGAATAGACCCCTGAAGTCTGTGCAAATTGGCCCTATCAGCATGAATGTTAATGATCGTTCCCTCGACTCCGACTACGGTGTATTATTTCCTGGGCACGTTAGTCTCTCCCATTCGCAAAACTGGCAATGAAAGAAATTGGACAAACATTTCTTAATCCTCGTGAAGGGGAGTCTTGAGACTCGGTGAGCCTTTCCTGGGTAGATAAAGGACTTATTATAGCATTTTTTTTTGCTCGTACAACGTTTGGCCAAAACGCCTGCTAATCCCAATGAGCCTTTACTGACAGATGTAAAATGTGCCTTCAAGCCAACAGCAATAATGAGTAAGATTTTCGCGGTTGTGCTGTATAGCTCTCCGATGTGTTTTTGGGTTGGTCCGCACGCGTCAGTGGGCACGACGTTCGCCGATTCAGTCCCTGAAGAAGCTGCTAGCACGCGGAGCGAAACGTCTGACATCAAATGCCGAAACAGCACGCGGCGTGACCTTGAAAAACACGTCTGAGAACAATGAGTCATCATTCTTCCGTAGCCCGTTAATAAATTCATGAATTCGTTCACAACTCATTCAGTTCTTCAAAGCTCTGCATCGCCAAGCGGTGTGGATTTTTTTGTTTTGTTATTTTGCTTTTTAAAAAGAGCAACTTTGTCTTGTAAAAAAATATTTTTTTGAAATTTAAAAAAAGTCAAATTTAGCATGTTTGCTTCACCTTTATTACTGTTGTTATGCTTAATGTTCAAATCTGACATGCACCAAGGCAGCTTTATATTGAGCCTCCTTAAACTGTATATTCAGGTCTAATATATTCAGTTGAAAAGACCTTTGTCAGTAAATGTAGCTTATCTTTTGTGGCCTTAGCTTAATGCTTATATGCGATTTGACAAGAGCAAAGTAAAAAGAGGAGAGAGACACCACTGTGAATTGTGGACTGTGCGTGTGTGCATCTCTTTGGCAAACCATCGCGACATCATCATTATGCAGTGACGGTCTCACATCGGCTCGTGAAGAAGAACTCTTTCTTTATTTTACATTGCAAACGGTCGGTTTTTTTTTTTGCGACAGAAATTGTTTTTTGGCGCCTTAATACTTAACGCTGGGAAGTAACGCAAATTGTATTGACGTTTAACAGGAACAAGCAAAACAAGTCGGCGATTCTTAACCGCGGCTCGTCCAATTGTCGCCTTGCGTCAGTACTCTTTGTGCCACGGTCAGCGAGCTAATCTAATATGCAAAAACTATACGGGTATAATGGATCCCTCGCTAATGTACGGTTTGAGGTTTACAGCGCTGTTGCTTTGTTAAAAATAAGAAAGCTCGCGGTGTAAGTCTCGCGCGATCCACGCTCGCTCACGCATGATGCCCCCCCCCCTTCCCCAGTGATGCAACCCAATAGCGCCAGTGGTTTGTGGGGGGGCTATCGCACCTCCATACCGCTTACCCCCCCCCCCCCCCTGGGTTCACGCTCAACCAGGGCGCACGTTCAAACCGCTCGCAAATTCCTTGTCGCAGGGACGGGCAGTCCAAAGAAGTTTTGAGAACGGGATATTGAACTTTTGCAAACGTATATAGTTTGCTTTTCCTTCCCAAAATGCTTACCAGTAACATCAGTGCGCTTTACTGTATTGTATGATGAGTACTTTAACATGGTGCTTATATGTGTTCATAACATAAGGTCAGTGTGATTGTTTTTATTTTATTTTAATATCTTCTTCTCAAAGTAGTTTTGACTGTCCGTTCATTTGTGCGTTTTGGCAGCGTTTTCAAAAAGCTGTGATGTGAAACAATCGTAACGCAACGCGCAGAAGCTTCAACAGTTTATACAGTTTAACAAGTAGTAGGCTATCGCGACCAATATCATCCATAATCGAGGGTTTTTTGGGGGGTTAGATTGCGTAAATGTGTCGTAAAAAGTTCACGTGACAACCCTTACTAGTTGGCTGTGTCGCTTGATGGTGGGTTTTAACGACACTTTTATATATTTACCCGATCTAATCCCAAATAAACTCTAACATGGACGTTTATACAATTACCGTATCTTCAAAATGTAAAACCCAGGTTTATTGCTTAGTATTCATGAACCTTTCATAGCACCAACTTATGAAAGAAAAAAAATAATTCGTCCAAATTTAGAGATAAAAGTACAGTTTGGCATAAGTATGTTTTGGCAACTTTAATTTTCAAATAAAACGTCTCACGTTTATATGTTTTAAGATGTATCTCAAGTCAGGATGTTAAATCTGGTTTGACAGAAGTAAGCATTTAACTTTATGCATTTCCGAAATGCAATTAATACAACAATTTTACTTTTACATTATATAATTGAATGGTAAGTGCTATTGCTGCGTGATGCATGATTATTGTCCAGCAACTTTTGAGGCAGGGTCTGTGGATCAGAGAAACGTGGAATTGTAAGAGATGTCCGACTGAAGGAGAGCAGTGATGTCTGTGTGAAACAGTACTGCAAGTGGGTGTCTGACAGACCGTCTCTATAGCAGAGTTGTGTGTTCTTCACGCTCCGTATGAACTTCTCTGAACACTGCAGTTTCCACCCATGCACAAACCATACTCAAAAAACGAATTGGCCAATTTTTTTTTAAAACAGGACGCTGTTTAAAAAAAAAAAGCGTGTCGAGGCTTGTAATCCTGTGGCATAATTTATGCAGGTAATCCTCACCGAGTCTCGATATGCTTTTTTCAGAAGAGACATGCATATGCATTGGAATGTTCGGCCGATTTCGTTTTAGTGGAGTGTTTAACGTGGAGGACAGTGCCTGGAGAAGACACGCACGCTGAAGTGTTCCTGAATCCACTTGCCGTACTGCCGTCTCCGACCCTGCTGGATTGAGGGCTCTCATAGATCTGCGTGGTCCACCAGAGAACCGCTGCCTTCGAGGCAGATGCCACCAGACCTGCCTTTGTGAGAATATCCCTCGGTACGCCACAAATGGGCGCTGTCAGATTATTGAATGCTGGTGACGTGCGTGCTTCGCATGAGCAAGCTAAACTGGGTTTTGCCTTGTAAATTTGTCTCAGCCGCGGAGTCCTGTTGAGTGGAGCGTGTGTCCTGCTTGTGTTGACTCTCGCGCCTGACCCCTAACCCCCCCCTGGCACGTGTTATGTGCACGGTCAAAGCAATACTATATTATCCGCAAGTGCGCTGTGAACAATATCTTTGCAAGTGTCTTAAATAAAAGAAGAAAAAAAACTAAATACGAAACAAAAAAAAGGAAAAAAATCCAACCGACAGCTGTATTCACCAAAGGACAAGATCAAAGATTTATAAATCATGCAGTGCCTGAGTATTTCATTTACACAGCCCTTGACACGCGTTTGTTAAACAACTGTCAACTCGTGTGTACAACTCGAATGCTTTGTTTTAACCACAATGTTTTGCAATGACACTGGAAGGTGGGCAGCTGTTGATGACGCTATAGCGGTGGATTTATGTTGTTGTTTTTTGTTTTGTTTGAATGTTCCACACTGGAGCGGTGGAGAGGCGTGAGTGGCACTGTCCTCTGCGTGTTTTTCCTACTGGATGTGGTTTGTACGCCGGATGCAATCTTCCAACCGTGAGGACAGGGCTAGGGGGAGCCACGTAACGACTGAGCCATTCACGTGTGCAAGACACCCATCTGTAGGGCTACAACGTGCTTCTCATGGGGCAGTGCAGCAAGTAGGTAGCTAACCTATCCGTCTCACGTTGTGGGTTGACCTCCCCCTGGGTTCAGGTTCTCTTCTGCAGGCAGGGAATTGGCCAAACATTACAAGCAGGGGCCTACTGAAAAATAGTTGTGGGACACAATGAAAATGTCCTCATTGACACAAAGGCCATGTTTACACAAATCTATATTTGGAATATCAAGTTAATCCAACGGTCATATACGCTTAATGTTTTCATCACGTGTAATGTTTAAAGTTGGTATTTTCGCAATGGGGTTAACAGACAATGGGCAAGTCATGTTGCTAATCGTTGTGGCAAGCAGTGTTTAGTCAACACTTCGTGTGAGAAATTAGAAGTGAATAAAACAGTGTACACCATTGTCTCCTCGAATGCGACATATACCTCCCTTCCATATTTGCAGGTCACAATGTTATTTTCATAAGCTTGTTTAAATGTGTACAAAAACAATACAGCTTGCAAGCACTGCCCGGTTTTAGGAAATGTTTTTTACGACCCAGGCGTCTCTCTCGGGCCTCTCCAGGCACTGGGAGGCGTGGTGGCGCCGCAAGAGAACGCTTTCAAAGGGTGGGGGTGATCTGTGACGATCTAAACGATGAGTGTATCCTCGCTTTGCGAAGCAACGTGAGAATTGTGCCGTTTTGCATTTAAGCCACTTTTGCGAAATGTACCCTCCCCTTCATACAGCATGCACCCCAGACGCTGAGGGTCAGTGTTAGGTCGCAGCTCTGAACATGGACAATGTGTGTTGTTTTAGTGACGTATTCAAACAAAATGGAAAACTATCAATTGTTTTCAAAATGATTTTTTTTCTTTTTTTTTGCATACAAGTTTTACCATCGTGAAAACAAAAAGCGATTGATGATGATGATGGCAATCGGTGTTTGCCATTGAGGTTCGGTATCTTCCTAATTCGCATGACGCGTGTAATTTGTAAGCTAACTGTATTGGCCCATTTTAATGCCGGGTCTCTCATGGCATGTGCTGCACTTTGCACACCTTAACAAATGGTAAAGCGTTCTTTTAGTTTCCTTTCAAAGGGCTGGCATATCGAGCGATGTGGCTCCTTTTTAACGGCCTGATTGTGCAGGCCCCAATTATTACTTTATTAATAACGGCGGAGGGATATTTGTCCCTCCCGCCTCTTCCATCCACGCCATAACACACATGAGTGTATATTTACGCAACAAAACATAATCCTGGTAACCAGGGCACCAAACTTTTGCAATTTGAAATGTCTGCGTGGTACCACTGAGGGTTGTTCCGGTGCTGTGTCCAGTAAACATTTTATAATTAGAATAAGGGCGTCAGAAAAAAAATTGGCATTTAATTGATGTTTTATTTTAGCTATTCGTATTCTTTTTATTCTCAATATCTTCCACAACTGGCTATGGGCCACTTTAAATAAAATATTCTCAACATGATTGGAGACTACTGAAGGTTACTCCAGAAGCACAGGAGTGCCAGTGTCAGCTCCCACAGATGTTCTCTGACATGCCAGGTATCTGTGCTGGCCATGCGGGTTGCAGGATGTATTTTTGGCTCGTGACATGACGTCGATAGCGTGAAAAAATTGGGATATAATTGGTGATTCAAATGCAAAACGATAAAAAAATAAAATTCCCCAATGTTGGTTTAGCCTCAAGAACCTAAGCGTGCATTTTCATGGCATTACAATTTGATCATCAAATACCCATTTCATTTTGTATTTCACCACTGCAACAGACAAAATATCTTACTTATGTTTGCACTTCGTGTTTGATGGTGTTTCTTTTAGAATAAAAAAAATGTAGCACTTGCCTGTTGGGTCACATGATAATAAAAATAAGAACTATGCACCAAGACATCTGTCCGGCATGGAAGAGTAGGCCAAAACACCCTCTCAATGGGTGGTTCTATTCGAGCTCCGTCAAGTGGAGACCCTTCCACCAGAACTGGCGAGCTAGCTATTGCAGGGCTACACTTTTACCTCTTTTATGCACCATTTGATCCTGGCGGACCCAGTTGCTTTGGCGCTGTGTTGTCAGCGGTGCCAAAGTTTCTACAGAGGCAGTCACCCATTTAACATGCTGCATTGTCAGTTCTTGGTAGCATGGATGACGGTAGTTACAACACCGAATGTTTAGTTCAGGATCACACAAGCTTCATAGCAACATATCTCATTTTTTGTACACATCTTGTCTGTTAACTGTAATGGAGAAAGCTGCATCATAGAGGAAACTACAGACACAACAATGAGGAGTCTGGAGAACCCCACAACACTTCCCGGACCCAGCAGCGAGTGGCTTCGACGTTCTTTCACAGTTACAAAAGTCACTCGCAGGAAAGCACTTTTCTACGGAAGATTAAACGATGTGCACTGGGCACACCGAATGTGTGCTTTCGGAGATCAAATACTCGGGACATTGATGGTGACCATGTAGAATACAAAGTTTCAAGATCAGTCATTGCTTTGTCTTGTCAGGCTACATCATTTTTCAATTGCCCGGCTAAGTCTCAATGCAAGAGACATTAGGAAACAAGAGCATTGCACTTAAGACACTTACGGATTTCATATCTGAGCATTAGCTTTTTACAACTGTGTAAAAAAAAATGTTTGTATCACCATGTTTGATAAAACAAAAATGCATGCATTGGCTTTACATTTGATAACTTTTTCGATTTAAAGCTTTCGTGACTGCAAGGATTAATCTTTTGAGAACTTTTGAAGACAGTCAAAAGTATCATGTGCGTTGCTCTAATAAACACATTTGTAGATGTAGCATCGGTATCCATTTGAGAAAACTAAAGTCAATAATTCTTGTTAAGTGGGTGTTTTGTTAAGGATATGATCACGAGCCGTATTAAAACCTAAATCATTGGTCCATTGAAGCTCAATTGAATCAAGCAACTGGATACATCACTGGAAATAACCTTTTTTTTAATAGAAATTAATTTCAGCGGCAGATGTCAAATTGTCAAAACAATGAGCCGTGTTTATTTTAAATATTTTGATAGTATTCGTCATGTGTATGGAATGTTGCGTGCAAGTTTGTGTCTCTTAATGCACTGCAAATGCAGATTCCGCGCCCCCGATGTTAAGCACTTAAAATGCTATTTTTTGTCAATGTTGTTTTTATGAGTGGACCGTCATATCTAATATGAAGCCACTTTGGTGTTTCTCATCCAACGCGTCACAGACGCGTCACAGACGCGTCACAGTCGCGTCACAGACGCGTCATCGTGGACACGCGGCAGCGCGCGCTTTCAGCACATTTTAGTGTGCCTGCGTTGTCAGGCTCAAAATTTACAACGAATAAAATACATAGAAAGTACTATTAATGTGTGCGCTAATGTTTTTAATTATATTTTTTGCGCTAATATGTTTAATGCTGCAGTCCATTACGTGTATAATTAACATAAAAAAAATTTTTTTTAAAGAATTAAAAGTTTAAGGTAATGGATTTTTCCTGCCCAGCTTATTTGTTCAAATATTTTATTTTGCCGCTATTATTCGTATATACACGTCTTTGAAATATTGAAAAACATTGCCTGAAATGTCACCTTATTCTATCGCAAGTCAGTACCGTTGTTCGGTGCCACTAAGGCTATTTTAAACTCAAACACAACCGAGTAATTGCACATTCATTTGAGGTTATTTAATTTGGGCAGAAGTCAGTTCGCCGATATTGAGCCAATTTTTTTTTACTAAATTTAAACATTACGTGGCACTGCAAACAAAAAATATTAATTGTAATTTCCACTTATGACACGAGCAATCACACACTGGTTGATTTAAACATTTTCTGAATGTTGTATTCAATGTTTTGCTCTATTACCGTTTTTATTCTCAATTATATTTTCACCTTGTATTCCTTACGTGTTTTTTTTTCCTGCTGTACGTCGCATTTTTTTTGCGTTGTATTTGGGAACATTGTTTGAGTTAAACTCTCTGTTTCTACAATTTGTGCAAATAAAAGGCACTATATTTCCATCGTGGCCGCACTCGTGTTTGCGAATGTGCTCGTGGGTATGTCCAGCGTTGGGAACGGTGACAAGGGGGTGGCGACCCCTCCCCCTGTTCGTTCGGAATCACGAGAATCCTCACAGCGAAACTCCATTCCATGGCTGTTCCGTGACCAGGATGAGTCGATCCCATGACCAGGATGAGTCGATCCCCGCTGTCCATGAACATGGACCTCGTTTGAACTGATAAAGGCGCTTCAGTTAGACAATTTGGTAAAGCATTCAGATTCGGTTTTTGGGTCACATCACGTCCGTGTCGTCAACCCTCCTCCACCCAACACAACCAATTAGTGCTCACCTGTAAGAGTTATAAACACCAACTTTTTATGAATTGGAGGGTTTACGATCTGACCAAAACGTGTATTATAACCGTACTATTGCCCGCAAAAGCCTGCATGTTAAATTTGGAGAGAAACTAACTTAAACGCGTTATCTCACTGGATTATGCAGTGTTGTATTGTTTTGCTGTACGTACAACATGGCTGTATCCTGCAGTATAATTACAAATGAATTGTCCTGGATTGTTGTCATGTTTTATTGCTTGAAGAAGTGATTGTCAGCAGGCTTACCAAAAGTTCTGAGTTCCATTTGCTACATTTTTCACATTTCATGATTTGTATACATATCGACCGATTAGCATGTTTATGTATCTGCACAATATGCACCTAATAATTGTGTGTGCGAGAACTCCTAGACTTTGCCGATTTCAATGATAGAGTTATAAACTTACGTAAAGTTTTTGTGAGCCAAGTTTGATGACGACATAGCCACGTGAATCCGCTTTACCATTTTACAATATCGCGGTGCGTGACAATTGATCCCTCTTTTTAAACCATACACTACATTACCACCGAAGACGTTGAGTTCCACACTGCTTCCACGCAATTATTTATTACAACTCCATTATGAACCATTATTAAAATAGCGCAATCAGTTCAAGCCCACATTCTGGCCTGCACCAGTGAACCATTGAGCTCCTGTACACACAGACACACACTTCCCGTATTATATACACATCACAAAGATTGTGTTGTTATATTGTTGTTGGCTGTGGAGCAAAGATGGGCTGAGTCAACCTCCAACCAAGATGTGAACTTGCAACCTTCCGACAAAAAAGCTTACATCAAGGGTGGGGAACATTTTCCCTACCGAGGACCGAATAGAATAACAGAATTATAGTATTAAATACTTTGAGAACCACACTTGCACTATACTAAATGTTGAACTTCTTTCGCACCGAACGTAATCATTGATAATCAGAGGTGCATACACGGACACCTTGGCTTTATTCAATTACTTTAAAAATAATCAATTTATCGCGTACACTAACGATGGCAGAAAACATTACCCTATAAGTGTGGCTAAGATCCCTGCAATTACCAAAAAACATAATTTACATGTCGTTTATAAGTAGCGGGTCTCATGTGATTGTGGGCCATGTGAAGTCGCAAGCCACAATCGTGTTCCAGCACCCCTGCCTTTAGCGATGCAATGATCCCAGGTGCTTCTCATCAGTGTGAAGTTGTAATGTACTGTTGTGCAATCAGTGTCGTGCAAAGCTGAAGTGAAATGGCGCAACTAATTCTGCACATTCTGCAAGGGGCGGCGTTCCGCGTAAAACTGCAAATCTGTAACTCGTTTTTATCACGAGAGTTGTACAGTACAGTGCCCCCCCCTTGCCTGGATGGCCTCTAGACCCAACAGGACACTCGAAACCAGGCAGGAGATCTCGGCAGAGAATTGTGGCCTGTTCGTCGAAAACCAATCATACAAAGGGCATTGTAGATTTTTTTTTTAAAACCCTACATTATCAATAAAAGTGTAATAACTTTGTAAAGCTAGATCAATCCAATTTTATTACTAATCATTAATATTTGCAATTAACCTTTTTATTTAATACCAATTCCTTGTCATGCTGACCTGGTTAATCTCCCGTGACCCCATCCAACCATTGGGCCAGTGATTACATATTCGACATGAAAAATATAAATGATTTTGAACAAAAGCTGCACGTTACGGACACAAACCGCAACCTTTATTCATGCAACCTTGCAGCGCAACGGTGAAACAACGCAACACGTGGACCTTCTTGTCCAACACGGTAGAGGCGCAGCGCTGCAACTGCTTTGCTCGCGCCGCTGCTGCCGGAAGAGCCTTCCATGTTGACCCAACGAGGCGAGGCGGGAGTACCCACACACGACATTAAGGGGAGCCGCGGTGGCGAGATGTTAACTACCTCACCTGGCGTACAGGTGGTCCTGGGCTCGATCCCGACCACGACGCCTGCTGCGGTATATTTGGAGCTGGCACGTCTCTGTCCGCGGTCGCGTGGATTTTTTTCCTCCGGGTCCTTCGGTTTTCCCCTCCACATTTGGGACCGCCACGCGTTGAAGAGTATTTGGCTGCAATAAACTTCCACGTGATGAACCACTTCGTTGAGCTATAATGTGTGACAGCCAGGTCGCTTTTGAAAAAGAGCGAGATATATATAGATCAGTCGGGCCTTACCTGGCAATGTAAGTTGAGTTATCCCAACACAGGCTGCCTGCTGATTGCCTTAACTGTGGCGTAACTGTTTATTAGCTGATTGGACAGGGGTAGTGGGGGGGGGTTAAACAAAGCTTGCTCATTGGTTTAACTGCCACGCCGGAAGATGGAATCGAACCGGTGACCTCTGGATTGCAGTGCAGGTCCAGTGGTGGCAGCTCTCGCGAACAATGCTGCGCGTTACCACAATTCAGAATTCACGGCCTCTTTTCAAGCCACTGCTGGGTGTAGGCCTCCTGACGCGTGTCGGCCACGGAGGTTGTGTGACCATACTTCACCATGCTGGTAAGTGCGGGGGGTTGGGAAGCAACAATACTGCACAATAATTGCAACCAATAACTTCAGCTTTGAATCGCAGTCTTGTATGCTGTGTGACTTAGTGCTTACATTTGTAAGAAAAGTATTGTATGCTAAGTTGGGTTGAATATTAATGAACCGAATAGTGCGGAGTTGTGACGCACACTTCAGCGCGGCGTTGTGACACACTTCAGCGCAGTGCTGATGCAGTGTAACGCAGTGTCGCACGACGCCGCCCCTCAAGCGGGGTCGTGCCACACCGCACTGGGGCCGTGGCTCAGGGCTCGGGTTTGTCGTCCGCGCCCTCCTTGCTGATGAGCTGGGGTTCGTCCTCGCCGTCGGGGGGAGGGTGCACCAGCACCTTGTCGATCAGACCAAACTCCTGCGCCTCGATGGGGCTCATGTAGCGGTCGCGCTCCATCACTTGCTCTGCGACCACGCGATGCCATTCAGTCAGAAACAACACCAAACAAAGGCAAAGGGGGCCATGACATTGCTCAGCTTTGGCGCATTCGCCAATTGCTGCAGAATTCAGCGAACGCCCCGATTTAACACTGCGGCTGCGTGAACGGGAAATTTGATACGTCCCGTGAGCGTTACTCGCACAGTGGAACGTTAAAGATCCTGCGACGTCATCCGCAACTGTGGGATACCGGTCTGCTGTGGTGTCATTGTCCAAATATGAAACAAATTAAACTGCAAATAATGAAAGTGGAATATACAAAGCAATCATCGCCCCCTTCTGAGAAAACTTGGAAGGGCAGGTGTCAACTGTGCAACCAAGGGAAGGCTTCATGGAGGCGACGATCTTGTTAAGAGGTGACTGAAGGAAGTGTTGACCGTGCACCGAAAGGGAGACGTCCGGCCGAAATGGCGACGATGAGAAGCTCTCAGCAGTCTTAGGAGGTTCAAACGCTGATCGAAAACAGTTTTGGAAATCTGGCCGAAGGAAGCAATGGCGAGGTGGGTCTCTCGGTGACCTCTGAATCTCGCGCGAGGTCAATCCGATAACGTGAGGCGATGCGATCGGCCTCTCTCACCGAGCACGCCGATCGGCTGCCGCGTGTGCTTGGCGTAAATGCCGTTGATCTGCCGCTTGAGCTTCTGGATTTCTTCCGCCTGGATCGCGATATCGGTGGCTTGGCCCTGGTGAGAACAGACGCGGCACACGCCTCCATCAACGATCAGAGCAGAGTAGAACATTTCGCCTGGCCGAGCAGGAGCGCATCTACTGCTCGTTGCAGAGGTTTGTGGCTCAAGGCCAGCTGCCACCCTGGCTGATGCTGCGGGTGTATCGACCAAAACTCGTGCGTCTCGCCTCAGCGTGCTACGAGTGTCTTGCAGCACGACGCGTCACGGGTCGTGACATGTCACGCGTAGCACGCGCCGAGGCTTGATGCGTCACAAGTCAAGGCATTGCACGTGTAGCGCGCAGTGCCCCGTCGGTTCCGTGTCGTGTGGCGTACTGCGGCGACGTACGTACGCGCCCCCGGAGGGCTGGTGGATCATGAGGCGTGAGTTGGGCAGCGAGTGGCGCATGCCGTGCGTCCCGGCCGCCAGCAGCAGGGAGCCCATGCTGGCCGCCTGGCCCACGCACCACGTGCTGATGGGGTTGAGGATGTATTGCATGGTGTCGTAGATTGCCAGGCCGGCCGTCACCATTCCCCCTGCGCGGCACAGGACAAGACGCCCATGTTGTCTGCGAGTCTCATGACGCGCGTGCGTCGACCGCCCGAGGGAGTGGCCGTGACTAACATCGCCGGCGATTATCTGAACCGGTGGAGAGGGCCTCACTTAGGTCAACTCATCCTTAAATTAGTTCCAGGTGCGATGTGTAAATGCCAATTCCGAGCAGACGAAGGCAGACGGGCATGGTTCTGGCCACACCATACCATCGTATGCCGTGCCGGTCTCTTTAGGTGCAAACAGTCTGAAGGACTACAGGGGAATCTTTACCATTACTTGTAAGTGCCTTCTTGAAAGCATTTCTCAAACGCGTATCTGCAAACACTGCCCGTTAAATTATTGTCGATAAACGTTTAATGAATGTATAACGGCACAAAACGGGTGTGTGCCAGCCTGTAGCACTGATACACACACACGCTCGCCATCGCACTGACATATGTCATGTAACCATCGATCCGAGTCGCATTGGGCCAGCAAATGAAAATGCAAAGCAAAACGCTGCGTGCAGCCGCGACAGACTGCTGTGTCAGCCAACCTTAAGCCTCTTTGCAAAAGTGATTTGTCTCAATGGGCTCTCTCACCTTGCTAGCCAGTCAATGTGTGTATGTGAAAGGCAACCCAAAACACAAAAGAGCTATTGCAGATATGCTCCGTCGTTTGTGACGGGCTGTCTGGTATGATTATAAAGCAATGTCAATGGATAAAAAAAATAATGCAGTCACAATAAGATGGTCGCCGTGGTGGCGAGATGTTATCTCCCTCGCCTGGTATGCAGGAGGTCGTGGGTTCAATCCCAACCATGACGCCTGCTGCTGTATATTCGGTCGGGTGAATTTTTCTCCGGGTCCTCCGGTTTTTCCCTCCACATTTACAATCACCTGTTTAAAGTATTTGGCTGCTATACAATAAGCCACTTCGTTGAGCTATCATTTGTGGCCAGGTAGTTTCTGAAAAAGGGCTACATAGCTCAGTGGGGCCTTACCTGGTAATATGAGAAAGTTTAGTTTTAGTAAAAGTTTAACGTTGCAATTGCCACGACGATGGCGCCCTCTCGTGTTATCGAAGCAGAATCACTGCCGTAGCATTTCACCGGTGCCAGCCAGCCATATTAAGTACGCGCGTCACAACGCATTGATCCATCGCTTAAAATGGATTTTGACATGAAAATACACGCATGAAATTGTCAAAATAAACATACGCAGCCACTTAAGACGGGATAAATTCACTACAATAGAAAAAAAAAGATCGATATTATTTTTACCGTGGCCCCAAATTCCTGACAATTCGCGAAATTTGCGAGAAGGGCGAATCGTTGCGTGTATTACGTTAAGCGAATTAAATTGTCCGCCACGAGAGCCAGCACTGTGGTGCTGGTTTCATAAAGCGGCCTGGTGGGAGTTTCAGAGCTGGACCGGCAGGTTTCTGTCCTCCTCGCGCGTGGCTGAACGTAAATAATAATCTCAAAAGTAATTTGAGATATTTAGTTGCAGTTCTTTGAGCCAAGTGATGTGTGTCAGCAGTCGCTCACTGAACCCATCACGCAGATTTTTCTAGTTACAGGAGAAGACTGTGAGTCTTGCTGTAACCTTGATAACAAGTCGGAATGGCACCAAAGTATGTACAAGACATTGTTTGTCCTGGGCTGTCCAACAAGAGCCTCAAGAATTTTTACTGTTAGTAAACGTTGTGTAGGGCAGCCCAGGATACATAGCCAAAGCATATCTCTACAAGGGTTATTTAGAATATTGATTTAAGTAGTGTGGAACCTATGAGACGTTGTGGGCTGTATTCGGCCTCAGACTTTCTTTCCAAAGGGTCTGTCATTTTCCTTTCATACGGCCCACAGCCAAACATGACCGACCACTTTGACACGGCCCTCAAACAAAATGTATTCATCACTCCAAGCATCCGAGCTTCTTTTCGATTTAAATCTTTCGTGACTGCAAGGATTATATTATGAGAATATTAGATTATTATGAGAATATAGATTATATTATGAGAATATTATTGCGTTATTTTATTTTATCAATTTATTATTTTATTCTCACTCTACGTGATTTCACCGAAAGAACCAAAGAAGATGCATCCGAGCTTCACTCAGCGCGTGCCAGATTGCCGAAAACTTCTGACCTGGCAATGCCGTTTCAATTTTTCGCGTGCACTCAGCCACTTCTGTCACCGCAAGGGCCTCCTCCTTATGCCCGGTCGACAAGTGTGTTATATTTCTTGCGTCGCTGCTGAACAACGGTAAGGTGTGCTTCTGCAATGTGTGCGGTCCCGAAAAAGTTATTTGAACGTCCCAATTTGGGTCCCCAGAAAGGAAATGGATCCACAGCGGCTTGAAGGGTTCACGGTCACCCACCCCGCCGGACTTCTGAGAAGGCCCGCTTGGCGCGTGCAGGCTCCCCCTGCCATTCTGCCTTTATCCCTCATTGTCGCCTCTCGATACAAAAACCGTCGCTGCTCTTGCTCGTAGACCCCACGTGTGTGGAGCAGTCAGCCCAATCTCCTCCCCATCTACGGTCCCAGGAGTAGTGAGTACCGAGGCCACAGAGTTTTATATCCCCCCCCCTCTCCCCCGCCTTGTTGCGGTCTGTGCCTTGTACTGAGCTCTTGTTTGTTACAAAAAATACCCAATTAAATGAAAGAGCGATCGCGGTCACCATCCACGCGCCCGTGCGTTTGTCCCGCGCGCACCTGGGCTGTTGATGTACATGTGGATGGGCTTCTTGTTGCTCTCCGACTGCAGGAAGAGGAGCTGTGCCACCACGAGGCTCGCCACCGTGTCGTCAATCTGGGGCCGCGCAGTGAACCCCCACCACCATCGCGCCGTCAGCGTACCGCGCGGAGAAATCCGTACTGCCAGGCCGGCAGCGTACATCGATGAGGTCTCTCGCCAAAGCCCAGCGCAAGGGCGGGCGCTTGCCGCTCATTTGCCGAAGTTTGCGGTTTGAACCTAGCGGCTGCCCTGGTTAATAGTGAAGGTGTGAAGGTGATGTAGGAGTACCCACGTGCGCACCCTGCCAATTGACTAACTGCACGTGAATTAACCAAAACACGCCATCTGTTTCTCAGCGGACGTTAACGATCTCGTGACGTCATTTTAAAAGCGAGATTAGGTTGTGCGTGCGGGCGTCACGATCCAAATTATAATTACGAGCAAATTACTTAATTGGGTAAAAACCACGACGCAACATTGGCCCCTGCTAGCAGACTATAGTCGCCTGTGAAACATAGCAGCTTCAAGTTAGCCTTGCGCGATAATAACAAATGATTATTTTTCAATGAAAGTCTATTTGTCTCTGTCCTAATGAGCGATGTGGCGGTGGTTATTTCTCTCAGTGGTGCTCAAGACCATGGTTGAACGACTCATTCCGGGAGTGCGTTCCTCGATCAGACAACCAGTAGTGACTTAGTGACTGTCTACAAAGCGATAATGATTTTATCAACCGCGGAGGGATAATGGTCCGGTTGATACGCCCAGCCGAGATTTGAACTCGTAACTATTAAAACCAAACTGAAACTATTTTTTATTTTACCAGGTAAGGACCACTAAGCTGTATAGCTCATTTCTCAGAAGCGACAAGGCCACAAATAATAGCTCAACAAAGTGACTTATCACGTGGAAATTCATACCAGCCAAATCCTCTAAATGCGTAGTGATGTTGATTCTAAATGTGGAGGGAAAAACCCGGAGGAACAGGAGAAAAATCTACGCAACCACGGTGAGAGAGACACGCAAACTCCAAATATACAGCAGGCGTTAGCGTTGGGATTGAAACCACGACCGCCTTCATTCCAGGGGAGGGCGTTAACATCTCGCCACCATGAAAATACTAGACATCTGTAAATAAGAGCTTGATAGCTCATCGGATTCCGCGAGTCCAAATAAAGATTCTGATTCTAAGTAAAATTCTCTTAACAAAACACGTGAACTCAAATCGCAAAAAAGGTGATGCTGGACGTCCTGTTCGTAAAATTATCATTGTCCCTTAGTGAAGGCGATCGCTCACCGGGCCCATCACGCAGATGATTCTCTCCCTCAGCAAGCGCGAGTAGATGTCGTAAGCCCTCTCCCCACGTCCCTTCGAGGCGAAAAAACAAATCACAACATGCTTAGTACAGCAAATGACAGTGCCATCCCCATTTGGTCCAGCAAGGGGCAATGTCCATCCAACAGTGGAATATGATGTATATAAATAACGTACCCATTGTAAGTCTCAACTCAATTCGCATCCCAAATTCTTGTTGTCTTTTTCCCAAAATGTTCTGTTGATTGTGCTACCGACGTCACGGCATGAGATGGAGTCTTCAGAGCTGGTATTTAGCGAAATTAATTCCAGAGCCAATTTTACCGTGATGGTTTTTTTGTGTGTCAAGTCATGAGTGCCCAGGCTGAGACAATCAACCCACTAAACTTGGGAATCTACTTTAATTCACAAGTGTTTGCCCGGATATCAATCCAGGACCTCAGCAGTGCCAACTTAGTACTCGGGCCGCTGAGCCACCCAACGCCACGTCCGTCCAGTGCTCGCAGAGCTGCACTGCCTTCTGGTTGCCAAACGGGATCAGGTCGCACTCATCACACACAAAGTGCTGGCTACAAATAAACCGCAACACCTCGCCGATCTCGTCAAGTAGCATGAACCACCATCACGCCAACTCCGCCGGTCATCCCCGCAGCAGCGGCTTTTGGCTGACCGTCGAACAAAGACGTTGGTCACCGCATCGCGCGGCGCTTTCAGATGCGCTTCTGCGGCCATCTGCAACGCTTTTCCTTCCGATAATAGGAAGCCACTGGAGCTATGTACTTTTAAATGATCTATATTGAAAACTCATTTCTTTAGAACTGATTTTTGTGTTTAGTTTGTTGTCCTTCCCCCGCACATCCGATAGGGACGGTTGGCTACGTACGGTGCGAAAGAAGTTCAATGTACATACACACCTCAATGTATCCAATTTTTAAATGGTTCTCGAATTCCCGTTTATGAGAATGGCCACAGTAGCCCGCACCACTGAACTGCTCTGGAATCACTTCAACAGGACTCTCTCACCCAACACTGAGACAAGATGCCTCTCCTACCCCTGCCCTTCGTCGTGCTGTCAAAAGCAAAGTCGCGAAGTTTGCTCCGAATAAGTGCAACTCACGTGTGCCAACAGTTGTTAAATGTCAAAGTCTCTCACCACTCAATGGGGCAGTGCTCATCTCTATTGGTAGCACTGATCCTGTGGTGGAAATTCCACATTTCCATGGCAGGGGTTTATTTTCTCCAAAATGGTATGTACGTGTTTAATCAACCCTGGAAGGCCAATGGTCGGACAGAGTCAATCTCTCCGACCAGAGCGTCGCCCAGCCAGGCATGCAATTCCACTGTCACGGCTGAAACATGCTCGTACAAGTACACCCCTTTTGAACGATTCACTGTTGGACGAGGACCATACTTCGTGCTGGTTGGCGGGGTGGTACACTGGCAAGACTTGGGCTCACAAGCAAGAAGGCCCTGGGTTTCATTGCCGACTGTGCGAACTCTCTATGCATCTTCTCCATTCGCTTTGTACGGCTATCCTGCAGGTTCTCCGGTGACTTGTATTGGCCGAACATGCCAATGCTGAAAATGTTACCTTCAAATTACTCGATGGAATTACACAGCAAAGTCGCCCACAAGTGCGAGAAATTGTCAGCACCCTCCTTAAAAAGTATTGATGCTTGGCGAGGCTTTCCTGGGTCAACACGCGAAAATATTACATGGTCGAAGTCGGGGAGCATGGTATGTGTGCATGTTGAACTTCTTTCGCGCTGTAAGGAGCCAACCGTAATAATCGGAGGTGCGTGGGAAGGACAAACTACTTACAATCGATGTTGCTGTATTGACCCTTGCCGTCCACAAAATAACGCTGCTACAGCCGCCTATGACCGATTTTATGCGCGGCGATCGTTCATCCAAGCACTGTCCACGGGCTCAACTTGCTTAGTGCCTGGCCTCTGATGAGATCGGGCACATTCTGGCTCACTTTGCCACCTGTTCACCGACGGATTGCTCACGAATGGGTGAATGTGCGACGTAGGCGCTGTGGGTCTCACAGTCTGCTCGATGACGATGGGCACGAGTGGACTGCAGTGCCGTGCCCAGAGCCGCAGGTCGCGACGTAGCGGGAGCAGTCCTCCCACAGCACGCACCAGACTCTGTGCGGGGAAAAAAACAAACCCAACACGTTTAAAAAACCAAGACTTCATCGTAGCCAACGCAGACTCATCTTGCCATTCCTTCCTTTCCTTCTGCCAGATTCCGCTGCTGTTACACAGTCGGCAGTACCTGGATTAAATGTTGGTGGATGCCCAGCACACACGTTTGATGATTTGGGTGAGAGTTTATTCCGACAGTTTAAAATCTGTGTGTGGTGGAGGTAGTGACCGTGGGAGATGAGACTGTAAACATCTCACACACGAGAGCCCCCCAGCTGTTACTGTCACCATGTGAGGGCTCTCCATGGGCAGTTGCATAACAACCCCCCCCGCCTTTTTTCAAATTGTCTTGCTGTGGTTTTCACACCTGATGATGATTGCTTTTGTTGCAGTCGAAACGTCGTGAGACTTTTATTGTTTTATATATATTTTTGTTTCCCTTCTACGTGACTTTACCGAAAGAACCAAGAATGTGAACCTCCATCCCAGCGAGGGTCTCTATCCCAGCCAGGTCCCCATCCCAGCGAGGTCCCCATCCCAGCGAGGTCCCCATCCCAGCCAGGTCCCCATCCCAGCGAGGTCCCCATCCCAGCCAGGTCCCCATCCCAGCGAGGTCCCCATCCCAGCGAGGGTCTCAATCCCAGCGAGGTCCCCATCCCAGCCAGGTCCCCATCCCAGCGAGGTCCCCATCCCAGACAGGTCCCCATCCCAGCAAGGGTCTCAATCCCAGCGAGGCCTCAATCCCAGCGAGGTCCCCATCTCTGCGAGGTCCCCATCCCAGCGAGTTCCCCATCCCAGCGAGGTCTCCATCCCAGCGAGGTCCCCATCCCAGCGAAGTCCCCATCCCAGCGAGGGTCTCAATCCCAGCGAGGTCCTCATCCCAGCAAATTCCCCATCCCAGCAAGGGTCTCAATCCCAACGAGGTCCCCATCCCAGCGAGGTCCCCATCCCAGCCAGGTCCCCATCCCAGCCAGGTCCCCATCCCAGCGAGGTCCTCATCCCAGCGAGGTCCCCATCCCAGCCAGGTCCCCATCCCAGCGAGGTCCCCATCCCAGTGTCGTGATCTTAGTGCGGCTCAATGAGAGCCGCGGAGTGAAGCGCAAGAATCTCTCGCACTGTACCGCGCCCATTCACCCGGCGTTTTAAACATTTTAATCTTCACCCACGTCAAGACAAACTTAGCGTTCATTTATCGCATACACATTATAAGGAAAAAAAAACAACAAATGCACGAGAAAACGAACCTGAACGCGCGAGAAAGCCTGGAAGCGCATGTTTGAATGAATTAACAGCGGGCAAAAAGTGTAACGTCGCTCGAGGTGTCCCCTTCACACCGCCACCCCATGTGGCAGCTGCTGCAGTGGGGCCACTGAGCTCAAGCCCGCCATCTTGGTATGGGAATTTTACTCTTGGTAGGTGGGGACTACTTTTACTCTTGGTAGATGGCGACTACTTTTACTCTTGGTGGATGGGGACTACTTTTACTCTTGGTGGATGGGGACTACTTTTACTCTTGGTGGATGGGGACTACTTTTACTCTTGGTGGATGGGGACTATTTTTACTCTTGTAGATGGGGACTGCTTTTACTCTTGGTGGATGGGGACTACTTTTACTCTTGGTGGATGGGGACTACTTTTACACTTGGCAGTGGGAAACTACTTTTACTCTCCGCAATGGCGGCGGCGTCATCGGCGCGCGCTGCGGCATTCCACCGCTCGCGCATTCATCTCAACGGGAGGCTTCCCTTACCAATATGGCCGCCGTGTTTACAAGCGCGATGTCGGAGTCCAGCGCGTTCGCGACGCGCGACTTATATAAAACTTTATTTTATAAACATCGTCGTGGAACCTGTCGATAAGACGTTCGAAACACCACATGGGTACATTTTACAAAAGGCGTGGAGCCTTCAATAAGCCACACACGTCTGTGGTAATATAAAAAAAACATGCAAATAAAAATGCTCTCCCGTTTTCTTGATGCTGGCAAAAAAAGATTATTAAAAGTTTATTTGAAGCTTTCGTGACTGCAGGAATTCACAATCTTTGGTTCTTTCGGTAAAGTCACGTGGGTAGATTTTTTTTATTTTACTTTACCGAAAGAACCTACAACTGAGTATGCTTTTCCTCGATAAATAATAACTGTTGTAACAATGAAATAATTACCATAAGAATAAAATATTGTAAGAATGAAATAATTATTTTTGGAACAATTAAACAAATATTGTAAAAATAAAATGTAAATTTTCGTAACAATTACATTATTATTTTTGTAACATTAAATAATCATTGTAAGAATGAAATAATCATTATTGTAACTATTAAATTATTCTTATTGTAATAATGAAATAATTTTGATTTAAAGCTTTCGTGACTGCAGTAATTCATATTCTTAGCTCTTTCGGTAAAGTCACGTTGAAGGGAAACAATTAAATAATACAATATATGTAAAACAATAAAAATTCTCACACATGAGAGATTCGTTCATGAGGCTATCCACATATACAAACACAGAGACAATTTCAACCGAGAAGATGGATTCTGGCTTAGCAATCATTGGAAGGATTTGATAAACCATTTAGGGTCTTAATTGATTGTTCACGCTTACGGTGGCTTTCAGACCGCATCCATTATTTTCGTCTCCCCCCTCCTCTTTTCAGAACATAGATGGACTAGTCCTTCTAAATAAACTGCCAAATCGCTGCGCGTGGCGCTGACGTTTTTTATAAATAAACCGTTTAAAAATAAATAAATTAATGCGAACCGACACACCTGATGACGACCGTTTGTGTTATGGTCGAAACGTCGTGAGAATTTTTTATTGTTTTATATATATTTTATTGTTTCCCTTCAACGTGACTTTACCGAAAGAGCTAAGAATATGAAAAATAAAATAATTCTTATAATAATTAAATAATTGTGGGATAATGGAATTATTGTAATGAAATAATTATTGTAACAATTAAATTCTTATTTTTGTGATAAATAGTAATTATTGTAACAATGAAATAATAATTGTTGTAATGAAATTATTGTAGCAATGAAATAATAATTTTGTGACAAATAATAATTTTTGGAATAATTAAATTATTGTAACAATTTAATTATTATTTTTGTGACAATTGAAATAATGATTGTAATAATTAAATGATTATTGTAACCATTAAATTATTATTTTGTGACAATTAAATATAAATTAGTGTAACCAGGGGCGGAGCCACAGGGGGGGCTGGGAGGGGCTCAGCCCCCCCTGAAATTTTGGGAAAGTCGGTCATCGGGATAACCGGATATCCGGCTCCTGCAAAATGCTGCAGGCTGCCACCTCGTGCTGCCCTGCAGGCTGCCACCTTGTGCTGCCACCTTGTGCTGCCCTGCAGGCTGCCACCTCGTGCTGCCCTGCAGGCTGCCACCTCGTGCTGCCCTGCAGGCTGTCACCTCGTGCTGCCCTGCAGGCTGCCACCTTGTACTGCCCTGCAGGCTGTCACCTCGTGCTGCCCTGCAGGCTGTCACCTCGTGCTGCCCTGCAGGCTGCCACCTTGTGTGCTGCCCTGCAGGCTGCCACCTTGTGTGCTGCCCTGCAGGCTGCCACCTTGTACTGCTGCCCTGCAGGCTGCCACCTCGTGCTGCCCTGCAGGCTGCCACCTTGTGTGCTGCCCTGCAGGCTGCTTGAGCGGCAGCCTTTCGAACTTATCGAACTTATTAGCCACATCAGCGGCTCCGACCTATTAATAAACTCCGCGTTCAAATCCAATAAAATTTGTTTTATACATTTGTGGCGCCCATTGGAAAACATGAACACTGGATATCTCAGAATATTGAAGTCAGCCCCCCCAAAGTCAAAATCCTGGCTCCGCCCCTGAGTGTAACAATAAAAATTAGTCATAATAAAGGTTTTTGGGTTAGATCGCGTTTATTTATAAATGTGTCGTAACCCTCCACCACCCGACACGGCCAATCAGCAAAAAAGTGTCACGTTGACAAAAGACAAATAATTCACTACTTCAGCCCACCGGTGTGTTGAAGAGTTAATCCATATTTACAGTTTGAGTACGACGTTTCGCTGGTAAATACATCCAGCATCATCAAGCAATTCGCTTGATGATGCTGGATGGTCGCGAAAGCCTACGTGTTAAACTAATAAAAATTAGTATAACAATGAAATCAGGCGAGCGCGCAGGACACCCCCCCCCTCTCCATGGGGCTGGGGGCCTAGCGCGGGCTGTGCGCGGAGCGATGACGCGGACCCCCGCCCCGCCCCCTCCCGCCCCCTCCCGCCATTGGTGATCGCGAGAGGCGACAGAGACCGCGGCCTCCTCCAGCTCCTTCCGCCTGCGGGGTTCTCGTCGCCACATCCCCGCGTTAAAAATTAACAAAGAAACTTCGCTCCACTCCGCCGACACCTCCCACCGCGAGCAGCTCTCTCTCTCTCTCGCCATCGCCGTCATGTCGAGCAGCATGATGAACATCTCCAGCATGCGACGTCTCGTCGAGCAGCTCCGTGTGGAGGCGAACCTCGAGAGAATAAAGGTCCCCTTACACCCCCTTACACCCCTCTCTCTCTACCCCCTTACACCCCCCTCTCTCTACCCCCTTACACCCCCTCTCTCTACCCCCTTACACCACCCCCCTCTCTCTCTACCCCCTTACACCCCCTCTCTCTACCCCCTTACACCACCCCCCTCTCTCTCTACCCCCTTACACCCCCTCTCTCTACCCCCTTACACCACCCCCCTCTCTCTCTACCCCCTTACACCCCCTCTCTCTACCCCCTTACACCCCCCTCTCTACCCCCTTACAACCGCCTTACAACCCCCTCTCTACCCCCTTACACCCCCCTCTCTCTACCCCCTTACACCCCCCTCTCTCTCTCTCTCTACCCCCTTACACCCCCTTACACCCCCTCTCTACCCCCTTACACCCCTCTCTCTACCCCCTTACAACCCCTTACACCTCCTTACAACCCCCCTCTCTACCCCCTTACACCCCTCTCTCTACCCCCTTACACCCCTCTCTCTACCCCCTTACACCCCCCCTCTCTACCCCCTTACACCCCCTCTCTCTACCCCCTTACACCCCCTCTCTCTACCCCCTTACACCCCCTTACACCCCCTCTCTCTACCCCCTTACACCCCCTCTCTCTACCCCCTTACACCCCCCTCTCTACCCCCTTACACCAGCTCTCTCTACCCCCTTACACCCCCTCTCTCTACCCCCTTACACCCCCTTACACCCCCTCTCTCTACCCCCTTACACCCCCCTCTCTACCCCCGTACACCCCCTCTCTCTACCCCCTTACACCCCCTTACACCCCCTCTCTCTACCCCCTTACACCCTCTCTCTCTACCCCCTTACACCCCTCTCTCTCTACCCCCTTACACCCCCTCTCTCTACCCCCTCTCTCTACCCCCTACACCCCCTCTCTCTACACCCTTACACCCCCTCTACCCCCTTACACCCCCTCTCTCTACCCCCTTACACCCCTTCTCTCTCTCAACCCCCTTACACCCCTCTCTCTACCCCCTTACACCCCCCTCTACCCCCTTACACCCCCTCTCTCTACCCCCTTACACCCCCTCTCTCTACTTCCTTACACCCCCTCTCTCTCTACTTCCTTACACCCCTCTCTCTACCCCCTCTCTACCCCCTTACACCCCCTATCTCTCTCTACCCCCTTACACCCCCTCTCTCTACCCCCTTACACCCCCTCTACCCCCTTACACCCCCCTCTCTCGACCCCCTTACACCCCCCCTCTCTCGACCCCCTTCCACCCCCCCTCTCTCTCGACCCCCTTACACCCCCTCTCTCTCTCTACCCCCTTACACCCCCCTCTCTGTACCCCCTCGATTATAAGGATGCCAGTCTCCCTGCCCTCTCTCTATCACGGCCCCTTGATCTTCGCATCGCCGTCAGCCTCTCGTTCATCCGCCACTCGTCGCGGATTTTCGGAGTTCCCCGTCAACATCTCGCGGTGTTTTACCCCTTAAATTGCCCTCGCCACGAGTTGTTTGGACGAGAAGCCGGCACATGAAACAAATTCACGTTCCTCATGGTTACGCCACTCTTCTCGTGCTACTACCGCTATGGGTATACCGTTGCCGTGAACTTAACGCATTCATTCTTCCCACCATGTTGATGGCTCTGTCGACCGCAAACTCCGTGTCGTGCCTCACTTCTAACAACCACAACCCGCTCGCTCGCCAGCCACTGCTCCACTTGGGAATTTACCTCGCATCGTCTCGTTTATTTATTACTACTACACGCTTTTATATTTCATTCACTCCGTCTGTTGTTGTTGTTGTCGTGTCTTCAAATCTTGTAACTCAATTTAAAACCCACTTCCCAATGCGGTATCGACTGCAAATTTGGTATACTTATGTCATACTGATGACAATAACTATATTATATCATTAAAAATAAAATTGTAACCATCTTTTTTTATAAGTTATGTTTCGGCTTGGGTCTATTGTCCACGCTCAACTGACGTTGGCTGTAAATCACCATGGGCCCCTTTATGGCAAGCTTAGGGGCCACTTCCTGGAGTCGTGGAGTTTTGCCATTACCAGTACGGTACATTTCATTAAAGCGTGTTTTTAAAAAAGTATTTTTTAATTATTCTTATTTCCCACCAAGCTCTTAACAACCTTGCTGAGTTGAAGAAACATGGCAACTGTTATGTATGAAAACCTTCAAAGCGTGACTCAATAAAACACGATCCTCAACAGGTCCCCGTAGATTACATTCTGAACCTTTGCCAATGACAGCTGGTAACCCGGGAGTAGTGCTTGGTTATTTAACATGCGGTGACTGATGATAACACTCAGCGTGTTGGAACCTGTTGAGAGTTTGCTTTTCACTCTTGGCAGGTCCGTGGGTCAATGGGTTTGTGTAAATACTACCTTTGTACGTGTGGAGACCGTATACGAGAGGGCATATTGTCTTATCAATTTGGTTATTTATATTCTGCACAATGACGCTCATGGTTATGTATTTCTTGTGAGGTGAGTGATCTAACTACAGTCTCTCGGTGGCATTGGTAAGGGGAAGAAGGAATACAATCATCTTACAAATATGTTGAGTGCTTTAGAATGTATATGCATCATTATATATTGATGCCTATCGTTCAGCCACTAAGAATTCCCAAATAGATATTATTTGGGAATGCTGCTGCGTTCGCAGTGGTGCACAAATAACAAAACACTCAAACCACATTCGTCAATAACGCTGCCTAAATGTTTCTGTGTAAAGGAGTCTTATTGACAAATACGTTGAGTTTAATATATCTTTGATAATCATCAGTCTTTTCCTTTTGAACCCAGACAAAAAGCTATTTAGTATTGGAATACAATAATCAGAAGAGCGGACTCGTCGTAATATTGGATGCACGCATCAATTTCGGTGTGCGTGCTGCGTGTACCCTGCTTGGGCACACGTGCTGTGTGCACACGGCTGCTTGTGTTGCGTGCATGCTGCCTTGTGCGTGGTGCTTGTGATGTACGTGTGCCGCGTGTGTACTTGTGCTGTACGTCCTGCCGCCTTGTGCCGAGCATATCCTATGCACGTGTGCGTGTGTGTGTGCTGTGAGGTTCCTCTCTCGCATAGCTGCACAATCACGTGCTGCATTCGCCGTGCGTGCTTGTTCCTCTGTTGTGCCTGCATGTAACGTGCCCCGTTCTTGTTAGCTTTGCTTTAATTATCTGTATATATTTATTCCGTTGACGTTCCGTGTGTTCTGTTTCTCTGTGTCATACACCTTAGTTCTTATTAGGAGCGTTCTATTTATATGCCACGTACTGTTCAGTCACAATACACCCCCACTATGGTCTGTGTGTCACACACCCCGTCTGTTGTCTGTGTGTCACACATCCCGTCTGTTGTCTGTGTGTCACACACCCCGTCTGTTGTCTGTGTGTCACACACCCAGTCTGTTGTCTGTGTGTCACACACCCGTCTGTTGTCTGTGTCACACACCCCGTCTCTTGTCTGTGTGTCACACACCCGTCTGTAGTCTGTGTGTCACACACCCCGTCTGTTGTCTGTGTATCACACACCCCGTCTCTTGTCTGTGTGTCACACACCCGTCTGTTGTCTGTGTGTCACACACCCCGTTCGCGTGCTGCCTCCTTGCGTTTCAGCACCAACACGTGCTGCCTGTAACCCCCTCCCCCCCCATGTTGCGCCTGCTGCAGGTGTCGCAGGCGTCCGCGGAGCTGCAGCAGTTCTGCCTGGAGCACGCCTGCAAGGACGCGCTGCTCATCGGCGTCCCCGGGGGCACGAATCCGTTCCGCGATCCCCGCTCCTGCTCGCTGCTGTAACCCAGCGGATGCCCCCCTCCCCCGTCTCCCCCCACTCCCCCCCTAACCTGAGTCCTCTGCTCAGGACTCCGTTATCGGTCTTTCCCCTCCCTCGTCTCAAAAGAAAACACGAACCGAGCTTCCGAGTGCGAAATCCAACATCCGTGCTCGCAGTCGTTTTTCCTTTTTTTTTTATAATTCGGGCCGAGTTTTGACAGCGACGTGTACCCGAGTGGCAATGATGTTTCCTGGTGGTAATTGACGGCCGAACTGGTGGGGGGGTTGGGGGGTCTCTGTGGGGTACGGGCGGAGCGACGTGCGGGAATAATTTCTCCAAGTGCTCGCTCGCACGCGGCGGCGATGTCACGTTTTCTTGTTTTGTGCCCCCGACCCCCCCCCCCTTGCCGAGAAGTGCACGCCTGCCCGTCGTGTGTTTGCCTGAAAACAAGTGTGTCACTCTCCAGCGCAGATCTCTAACCGAATGCATTCTTTCAAATTAAATAACAGCTTCGATATCCCAAGTTCTATCGTGGCCTTGGGAGGGTGCTGATTTTTAGCGTTGTGCCTGATTATCGGCTTCATTGGGTGGCTCGGTAGCCAAGTGGTGGTAACAGCACTTGGCCAACGAGCCATCTTGTAACTTCTACAGGCAGTTAGAATGAGCCCCTGTCCGTGAGGAACCCCGCAACGTCGTCTAGCACAATGCTAAGCCATCGTGCGCCAGTGACCCCTGACCCACTGTCATTTCCCGCCATGACCACTGTTGACTTCCTTCAGAGTGGTACTCGTTTTGATCGGCGCCAAAGGGGAATGATAGGTGACATTTTTCCACCCCGCCGGACCTACAAACCGCATCCCCTTCCCATTGTGAATTGAGCATTCTGACCATACCACCGTCAAGCCAAGTGTTTGAAAATTATCCCCGATTAAATTGACAATAACGTCTCCGTATATTTCTCTTTAATAGTTCACTTGAAAAAGAGGGTCTCGTCTACACCAGTGGTGTCTTAGTTGTGGTTAAATTAAGGACAATTTCTAAGCAAGTAATTTATTGTGGATATCTCCCTCCAATTCCCAGCTAGCTTAACTTGGTTAAATAATCAAAAGCCTGTCATACTAAACACACTTGTTTTCACGCATATTTTATACACGTATATATATTCACGCAAATATATACACACACACGCACTTACATTCCATCTGGGATGTTGCCCAGAGCAGTAGCGTATAAATGTAGCAATGAATCTGCAACATTCAGATTTAGATCGGTGTAAATCGAGATGATATATAGTGTGCATAACCAGTTTACGTCTTACCAGTCTGCCTTCCGTAGGCTTTCTACAACCCTGCCCTTGACGGCTCTTGCGATGGTTTTTCAACGCTTGGAAGTGAAAAGGCCCTCCTCGCTGTGATCAAAACAAGGCGCAGCACGGACGGGGTAGAGCATCCTTATACTGTCGATGATTGCTTACAGTTTTTCATCCCCAGTGACTCGTGGACCGTGTTATGGGTGGTCGTTTTGCCTGTGTCGAGAGACCCCAATAGAAAAAAAAATAGACATTTCACGTATTTGTGTTGAATGTGGGATGCCGGCTGAGCGTCTCCCTCCGGCCCCATGAAACGGCGTGCAAACGTTAATTTAAAGCCTCGCGTTGTTTGATCAATCGCTCATCCGAAGGCGACGGCCGTGAAGGTGTTGCGATAGATTTGTGATCGTCGGCACGATCCCTTACGCTCGCGTCCTTTCTCCACGGTAACCTGGGGGACCAACTTTGTGCCAAATGTAGCCCCCCCCCCCCCCCTGTGCGATTCCACTTAGCCCTTGTTTCCCACGGCACGTTGAGTCGTGTACCGTACCAGAGCTGGACAACAGTTAGAGGGCAAGCCCACCCTCTTGTTGAAATAATAATACTGCTGCTGCTGTGTGCCACGCCCCCTCTTTGTACCCTGTAAACAGTCGCGATGCCAAGGGGGTTCAGCACTGCAGCGCGAGTAGGGATGTAACGTTTCACCTCCTACAGAATCGATGAAACATTGAGATTCGAGGTCACAGTTTGGTTCGTTAGACGTGTCCGTGCAGTGCATCTGGTGTTTTAATGGATGCGCGCGGTATGCACGGACGTGCAGGATTTTCCACGAAACCAATTACATACAACATGTATGTGAATGAATAATAATAATAATAGATGCTTTCATGCACAATTTCAAGCACGCACCACAATTGTAGGAATCAACTTTGACACGCGGATCATTACATTCCTCGGCGATGTGCTCAAATCCGCAATGTCACGTTCCTGCACTCCCCATAATCACCTACAATCATACACAGTGAAGGTCCATGCCTTCCTGGGCTTGGATTCTGTGCCGTGGGGGTGTAGCAGGATGGGGTGGGAGGGTGGAGAGCGAAAGGAAAAGTGGAACAGCGCTCGTGGATTGTTGTAGTAGCCGACTTGCCTCGGCTCCGTTCTGGACCTGTACCAGTACCATTTGGCCAGTGCCGGACTAATCTAGTGTGGGGCCTGTGGCATATGCTGTAAAGGGGTCCTACATAAATAAAAAACACAAATATTTAAATGTTTATAGTAATAGAGCAAGTGCAGGATCACTGAACCGAAATTGATAGCTTGAAAGCATTTAGCGCGGGGCCCTTGAAAGTGCGGGACCCGTAGCTACTACTACTACTACACAAGTAGTAGTAGTAGTAGCTACACATGTAGTAGTAGTAGCTACTACACGTGTAGTGTAGTAGATACTACTACACGTGTAGTAGTAGCTACTACACGTGTAGTAGCTACTACTAGCAGTAGCTACTACATGTGTAGCTACTACTGCTACATGTGTAGTAGTAGCTACAGGCCCTGCACTTTCAAGGGCCCCGTGCTAAATGCTTTCAAGCTACTACTACATGTGTTGCTACTACATATGTAGCTACTTTTGCTACTAGGATAATCCGGCACTGCGTTTGGCCCTGATACAGCTGGTTGTGGAAACATGGGCCATAATTCCTGGTGATGCCTGATTGTATTGTATTGTATCACACAGTACTCTGCATTGCCCAATAGTATTATATGGTATCACATAGTACTAGATGGTGGTTCTCTGTCTTAGATGGTACATATATTACCAGTTGACTTGGACCACATTGTACTGAGTGATACCTAATAATACTGAATTGGATTTATCACATAGTACCGGATCATGATTGAATAGTATTGGATGGAACTGCATAATATCAAGCAGTGTTTGTGTTAGATTATTCCGCTGGGTGTTAGATTGTGGTTATTGGAACTGTATTGAATAATTGGTGCCACTGTACCACGTAGTACCGGATGGTGCCTGATAGTATTAGACGGTATCACGTACTGCAGCACTTGGATGGAACCACAGGGAATGTAACGATTCTCCTCGTCCCTGATTCAATGAATTGTCACGCACGTTTTGATGCATGCATCCTGAGCATAAGAACTAACCCCTCGATGAATTGTTACATCCCCTGGTAGTTACCACATGGTGTGTACATCGTATTGGTTGGTATCTTATCCTGCAAGAACTATATGATGCCTGATAGTATTGAATGGTAACCACACGGTACCAGATGGTGCCTCACGGTATTGAGTAGTAACACGTCATACCACAATGGTGCCTGTTGGGAAAACATTTTTAGCAGTTACGCAGCGTCGCACCCATCCATCGGCTCTTGGGACCGCCGAGTGGTGGCGATTGATGCCAACAACGGCCGTTGCAGTTGGACAGATCCCTTTGGGTTGTGGATGTGTGCCGGGTGGGACTCAATGAGGGGCGAGCATGCGTTGGTAGGGTGTAGGATTGTTGTCTTGGACCTCGACGGCGTGCGCTGTCCACCTGCCCCACAGGCAGATCATTCCAAGTTCATCTTCTACCTCTTTCCCCCCCCCCCCCCCACCATTTATCTAATTTTTGGTTGTGCCTTTGTTTAAAATACTAATATTTGCATCTTACCTTAATTGCAATTTTATAGCCCAAGTGTGATATGTTAATTATATTAATAATGGTGGCTGCAGGTTTGGTTTGGTTACATACGAGAGTTTATTTAATTTTTGCGAGTGTTTTGCTAAGATCGCATTTTTGTGACATGCGCAGCTCGCTGTGAACGCACGACATTTTGAGCATTTGTCTTAACGATGCAAAAGAGGTTTTTTTTTGTTTAATTGCATACGTCTTCACATTTCTTCAACACTTAAAAAACAGTACCACCGCTTTACGATTCTTAACCCCGTATGGGACCGGGCTCGGGAACGCAGCGCTGGGACATTCCGACCGGCACCTTCCTACCGTCCGCACACTGCGTGCCAACCCCGGAGCGCCCCCGTAGCTCGTTGTGCCGCGATGCGGCGATCCGCACGGTGCCACTCGCTCCCTCGCTCGCTCCCTACCGCTTCGACACGAAGCCGCCTCGACACCCAACCGAGCCCGAGCGGGGAGCGAGCCCCGCTTCCTGCGACGCGGTTTCCCCCTTTCCGGTTTTCTCGACGCACAGGAACCGCATTGTCCTCAGGCGGTTCCTGTCCGAGTTGGCGGGGAGCGGGGGGGGGGTGGTCACCACACTCCACAGACGGATTGACCCGGCGCCCCCCCCCCGCCCCTCCCCAGGCCTTCGACGTTTGTGACGTGGCGGATCTATCGGACGGGCCAGCGCGCTGCGATTGGATGATCGACGCCTGTGCAGGTTGCCTTGGCGCTCGGCCGCGTGCTCATGTGATAGAAACATTATACCTTCGCCCGAGAAAGCTCCTCTGCATCACAATAGTTATTTTCGGCAGGGTCCTGCCGCTGCATCCGGTGCCAAATTGACGCCTTGCGTTCTTGAGTATCGCATGAATCGATCCATGTTTGGGCTCGTCACAAACGCTTCCGTGACTTAATACGTGACTGGCACCCTCGTGTGCCAGCTATGTTGGGTAGATCTGCATATGAAACCATCTGCATTTTGGTAAATCTGCATATTCAACCATCTGCATTTGCTAAATATACTCTGGTGCTGGGCTGTAAGTGCCCACTTGAAAATTATCTGTCGCTCGAGGAATCTTAAGCTTGTAAACAGTGGTAAATCGTTTTCTTAAACTTGCTGCTGGTCAGAACGTGACTTGTCTATGCCAAGCCTCATTGCTTGGCTGTTGGATTGTACTGCTCATTCTTGCTTGCAAAGTGACGAGCGCTAGGTTTCCAATTTGCTTTCTCGCTAAATATAAGTGGTTAATTTGAGTAAGAAGAAATGCAAGGTTGATATGGATAGACATTTTTTTCATACCTGTGTGAAAATTGTATCCTACTCAAGACCAAGAAAAATCTACGGGTTTTTTTTTTCCTTCCAAGTAATTAACTTATATAACACCGAACTAGGAATATTTTTTTAAAATTGATTCACAAACGTGGAATCATTTCTCCTACTTGGAATTGGAAACTCGGCGAAACTATTGAAATTGCATCGTTAAGACGAAAGCATCGCATCACGTGCGCTGCGCTTGCCAAGTCCGCTGATACGTGACGGCAGTTGGGCATAGAAAGTAAAATTTATAATGCAGCGGTTATTTGAATTGCCTACCGGATAATAAGAATAATAAGGCACCTCCGCTGAATTTTAATACAGAATCCTTGCCCTGTTTTACGAACCGTCGACTGTCGGCTTTACATTGAGTAGTTATTCCATCCTTCAGTCGCGGGATTTGTAAACGATGTGCTAACTTAAAACTGAAACCTCATCGGGTCATTTTGTAACTACTGTATTAGAATTCCCGCGTGTACCGTGTACCATTTCGTGCGGAGCCAGGATAGGGCGAACGTGAGTCCTAGTAAATCGGGAATGTACTTCGCATCGCGTTGAAATTCGAGCAATCCCAATTCCAGTATTTTGTGTGTTTTTCTTCGGCGCATTTTTTGTGTGTAAAGGAAAGCACACGAGCATGGTTAAGTGCACATTCGTTAGAGCAGCTCCATGAAACTATGGCTTAGCTATCCTGTTCAGGAGGTTTTTTTGAGAATCGTGAATGTGTGTGCGTGTTTGCTACTAGTTTACCCGTATTATTAATATGTCGTGAGATAATAAATACAAAACAAAACTACCCCTGTCTTCAGGTTTTTCTTGGTTTAGCTTGTAACTACTGGTGATCGATGCTATTTGTTTTTTGGGGGGAAGGTGACGGAGTTTTTCGTGCCGAAAATTATTGTGAGTAACCGTTACCAACCCCAAAATATTATCAAGTTTACACCGATATGGTGATACATGGCCAACGTACCGATTCAATTCTGGCTGATCAAGTCTGCTCATCGGCGGTGTCTTTGAGGCTTGCCATGACTGGAGGTCAACCTCGAAGTACGGCGATGTTTTTACTACGGCTGCTCTGAGCTTCATCGGGTAATGAACTCGGGGATAAAGTTTGCTGCCTGACGAAGATCCAAGCCGGTTTGAGCGAACCGTCGTCCCACGTTGATGTTGAACTCGGGGGGGGGGGGGGGGGGGTGGAGGTCACGAGAAATCTCTGAAGCCACCGCTGAGGAGGAGCTTTATTGGTTTTGATTGATACGATGACCACGTGGAAATAATATCTTACCTATAAACATGAAAATCTTTTCGGCTGGCGGAGGGTTAATGGCAAGAATTTTTGCTGTAAAACTACCGCGTGCCACCAACCCAAAAACAAATGTTGATCGTTGTATCGGCTACGGCAATGCACGTTTTAAGTGTACTACTGTTATAGAGCATAACTCAGTCACATATTCTTGGTTCTTTCGGTAAAGTCACGTAGAAGGGAAACAATAAAATAATAAAAATATAAAACAATAAAATTCTCACGTTTCAACTGCAACACAAGCAATCATCATCAGGTGTGAAAACCACATCAAGAAAATTTGAAAAAAGTGGCGTTTTTTAACGTTAGCACCACGGAGAGCGATTTGACAGTTATTCAGATGGACGAGTCCATCTATGTTCGGAAAAGAGGAGGGGGGAGACGAAAATAATGGATGCGGTCTTTTTCACACCTGATGATGATTGCTTGTGTTGCAGTCGAAACGTCGTGAGAATTTTATTGTTTTATATTTTTATTCTTTTATTGTTTCCCTTCGTGACTTTACCGAAAGAACCAAGAATATGAATCCCTGCAGTCAGGAAAGTTTTCAATCAAAATTTAACTCGGTCACAGTTTCAAATATATAACAGGGGATGTTCGTATATTTCTTGTCATCAAAGTTAAAGCATAGCATCACTTTTTTGCAAACCATCGGTCTGTATTCAATCGGGAACTTTAAGGTTTGGGGTCAACTATCCCACTGCCTCTTGGTGGATGCAATGTGTGACACTCAAGGAAGTTAAGTGTGCTCATCCTTTGTGGAGTGTGGTTTGTTAATGGCAGATCTAATTCAGCAAATAGAGCACCGGCTTTACAATGAGGAATGAGTGTAGATCCCAGCCAGGGTGTATATCATCGTTCATGATCATCACAATCATCAGTCGCCAACAATATCGTCATCCCAAATGATGCTGCCGTCGTTAAGTAAACCTAACGTTGGGTTCCTCGCCATACGAATGTTGTCATTTTCACAAGTGGGATAAGCGCCAATGGGAAATAAGCGCCACTAACACGCAACATTACGAAGTTTGATATCTTTAAAAACAAACTTGAACATTCTTATATATTAGCACTTTTTTATTGTTTTGCTTTAGAAACGTACAAAGAACGTACAATCATTAATAATACTTCCTTTGACAGGCGTATTGCGTTGGCACGTGACCCAGAGTGTTCATCCATCGCGGAGACGGAGCGAAGAGCTAAACCCGTGTGCCAGTGCAGGACGCATTGAAACATCTCAGAATCGCGAGAGGTGGTGGTGGTTTGGGGAGGCATTTCATCCAGCAGTGGATTGACCACGGCTGATGATCAAACCAGCAACTGGCCATGGGAATGTGGAATTTCACTGGCTCGGGGCCACGAACTGACCCGGAGTGCTGCCCCAACTGCAGAGGGAAACATTTTGAGGGTCGCGTCAGCTGACATTAGAAGTGAGCGAAGTGACTCAAAACACCAAACTCACCTGCCATTAGGTTAGCAGTGGGCAAAACAGCAACACACACAAGCAAGCCAATGGGATTTACGGTCTAGTACCGTGAAGCGTTATCCAATCGGACAAGAATACCGAATACCCGTGCAGACATTTCACAATAACAGCAATAAAAACGTAGTTTAAAAGAAAAAAAAAAGCGAACAACATCTCTTTAGGTACAAAAATAACACGAGCAAAAAGCACACAATTTTGACATGTGGAATGCCAAGCGGCAAACACTGTTACGCGTTGCAGGCTCGTACACTGCTCACGATTGACACCCTTCGCAACGTGTCCGAGGATCATTTGGACAATGGGGGTCACTCTTTTACAATGACGAAAAAAACTAAATAATCAACTCACATATCCGTGGGACACCTCGCCCCCCCCCCCCCCCCAGTATCAAAACATGAAAAAATAAAGTGTTTCCCCTTTCTGGCAATAAAACAGGATATTAATACACCAAGTAGACACCTACCAAGGCAACAAGTCTGCATTAACCACATATACTTGTGGCAAAACATGCAAACACAACATGCTCTGATAATAATGCATATGCATTGTCTTTGACGTTGATTTGGCCTACACCAGGGACAGCCTTCTCTCACACACACCCCACCACGCCTCACTACACACAGCACACACACACACCCTACCACGCCTCACAACACACAGCACACACACACACCCTACCACGCCTCACTACACACAGCACACACACCCTACCACGCCTCACTACGTACAGCACACACACACACACCCTACCACGCCTCACAACACACAGCACACACACACACCCTACCACGCCTCACAACACACAGCACACACACACACCCTACCACGCCTCACTACACACAGCACACACACCCTACCACGCCTCACTACGTACAGCACACACACACACACCCTACCACGCCTCACTACGTACAGCACACACACACACACCCTACCGCGCCTCACTACGTACAGCACACACACACACCCTACCACGCCTCACTACACACACACACCACACACGCACACCCTACCACGCCTCACTACACACAGCACACACACCCCACCACGCCTCACTACACACAGCACACACACACACCCTACCACGCCTCACTACACACAGCACACACACACACCCTACCACGCCTCACTACGTACAGCACACACACACACACACCCTACCACGCCTCACTACACACATAACACACACACACCCTACCACGCATCACTACACACACACACCACACACGCACACCCTACCACGCCTCACTACACACAGAGCACACACACACACACCCTACCACGTCTCACTACACACAGCACACACACACACACCCCACCACGCCTCACTTAAAACCGCGAGACCGAGGGAGTTGGCAAAAGCTTGGGGACGCCATCATCCAGCAGTGGATTGATCATGGATAAAGATGATGATGGTGGTGGCGATGTTGGAATAACCTGTCAAGCTTTATGATTTACCCCGTATTTTTGTGCAGGTAAATTCAGTTTGTACGTCCATACGGCGCACACACGTTTCAATTTCGGGCAATTTAAAAAAAAAATGTTGGTCTATTTGTGTTTCTCCCTCGTGGTGATGGGACTTTGTAGGGTGAACGCTGAGATTTATAAGGGGCACGGGGTGACCGATAAGGTGTGAATTGGTCTGTAATAAGGTAGGGCACTGATAAGGGGTTGACAGGCGTGTAATGAAGAACAGCTTTGGGTTGTTGAACTTCTTTCGCGCCCTACGTCGGCAACCGTGCTCGTGGCAGGACGGGCTTGCGTGCGACTGGGCGATGTCTGGAGGAAGGAGAATCTGCTGCGCTGTTTGGCGACGTCCTTCGGGAGGGGAGCTCACGGCGGGTTTGGTGAGCACCGAATACCACCGGGCACGACGTGCCAGCAACACGCGGGGCGCGGCAGTGGCTCGTATCCCCCCCCAGTGCCGACGTTACTTAGTTCATGCCTGTCAACCCCTCATCAGTGCCCCACCTTATCGCTGATCAATTCAGACCCTATTGGTCACCCCGTGTCCTTATACATCTGAACGTTCATCTGACAAAGTCCCATCACAAGGGAGAAACACAAACAAATAAACAATTGTTTGTGCCCGCATTGAAACGGCTGTACGCCGTGTGGACCTGAAAACTAAATTTCCCGGTGCAAGAATTACGGGGGTTAGTTACACGATGGCACCTGCACAGTCACCTATATACACACACGGCTGAGCTCACGTTAAGGGGGAGAGCGGCGGGAATGGCTCGGAGGGCACTTGCCCCGTTGACGTGCAGGGACAGAAATAGCGGGCGCAGGCCACGGGGGTCGTGGCACAGAGTGGCAAACCACGACATTAGAAACCCCCGCATCACTTTCACTGGCTGGGTAAGGCGGCCAAGACAGCCGCGTTACAATCACTCATCCACGCTCACCCGGAGACGTTTTTTGACGATTTGTGAAACGATCTGGCGTCCCGATCCCACGTCTCGTTTCGCGTTGCCTCTCCGCCTGTCCCGTCCCGTTTGCACATTTGCGTTCGCTCCCGTAACAAACAAGACGTACAACTTTTCCCGTGCAACGTGCAACGAGCATGCATGTGCGAGCGATGAAACATTCTCGCCCGTGGCGCGGTTAGATTTGTTGTGTCACTGTGCGCAAAAATAATTGACGAGTCGCCTCCGTGTATCGAATGCATCCCCCGCTGCGTGCGGGTTTCTCGGTCGAATGCCTCTCCGCTCTCCGTCATAGAGGTTTGTCTTTTTTGCGTGGGGTTATAACGCCGAAGTATAAACGCCACTACCACCCGGACACAGCCAATTGATGAGGTTTGCCACGTAAACACAACGTGCCCAAACGGTGGCTACTCCAGCACAGCGGTGTGTTGGAGAGTAAACCCGCTACGACATTTACGCTTCGAGTACCGTGACGTTTCGCCGGTAATTACAACAACAACAACAACCAGCATCATCAGGCGACAGCCAGAGTTGTATATTTTATATTTACGCGATCTAACCCCCCAAAAAAACCTCTAATTATGGAAAATATTAGTCGCGAAAGCCTCCTACGTGCAGCAGTATTGTTCAGCATTGCGATAGTTTGACCAATATCAGTAAATTGTTGTTGTTTTATCTATGGGATGAGACCACAAGGAACTGCGACGATTCGCTGCTGGCGGAAAGGCCCTCCGCGTTAGCCGGCTAATCTGGAGCGGGCATTTTGTGTGACTCCTCCACGCACGCCAGGCCGGACGTCGTGGAAGAGGTAAGTACCCACACTTTACCCCACCACCACGCGCGCTGTACTCCACACGTAAACATTTTAATAATATAAACATCTTGGCGAAGCGTTGCTTCTGGGCGATGGATCCCTTTCCAGTGTGCCGTAGTTAGCGGGGGCTCACTTTTGCGTGGGTCTCTTTTTTTGCTTGATGCGGCAGAAGTAAAATCTGAAAAGGAATTTTTTTTCAGGGGGGGGGGGGGCTGGAGTGGGGGGGCGGGGGGGATGCAGCTGTCGGGAAGAGATCACCAACGCGATCCTTGGGAACGCAGAGGCCTCGAGCCGTCACAGCTCCGTGGACTGCACTTGCTTCTTCAGTTTCCTGCGAGATCGCGTGGCACCACAGAACAGACACGCGGAGGCAGCGGCGTCACACCGGTCCATCATCCCCCCGGTCACGGTGGCGAGGCGTTACCACACTCGCCAGGTAAGGGCCCCGCTGGGCTACGTAGCTCCTATAGCGGCCTGGCTGTCACAAAATGATGGCTCAACGAGGTTGGCCTATCATCATCGTGCGGGAATTCATTGCGGCCGAATATTCTAAACGCGTAGTGACGTTGAAAAATCGGAGGACCCGGAGAAAAATCCACGCTGACCACGGCGGAGAACACGCAAACTCCAAATATGCCGGTGTCTAGGTCGGGATCGAACCCACGACCTCCTGCATACTAGGCCAGGTGGTTAACATCTCGCAACCGTGGTGCCCTCAGCATCAGATGAGTACCTCGTGTGTCAAACATCGCCACTAGGGAGACAGATGGTGGCCGGGCGTGGTGCTGGCCACCCACCCACCTCAGTTGGTGCTACTCACAAACAGTACTCGCCCCAACAGTCCCCCTCCTTAACCTCCCTCCGTTCCTCTCTTGAAGCCTCACCTCTTCTCTATCGTCCATTCTCTTCCCTCCCCTCGCCCCTCCACCCCTCTCCATCCTTCTCCTGGAGCCCTTTCGTGACCCCCTAAGCGCCCCTCTATCGCTGCTGCCACTCGTTCCACGATCCGCCGTGGCTCGCCCCCTGCCAAAGGCACCACTCCACTCCGTGTCACCGTTTTTGTGAACCGTGTCAAGCGCCTTGAGTGAAGGCGCTCTATACATTTAGATTGCACTTCATTAGAATAATTCTGTGATGGCTTATTCCAGGTGCCCTCGTTTTTTTTTTGTGAGCACTGCCCCGTTTACGGAGCATGAGGCTGCACGTCTCATCGCAGCGTCTTTAACCTGCCCAGAGCTCCACTTAGATGCATCGTCGGTGGGTTGTTTTTTTTTTGCCACGTCAACCCACGTGACCTTAGCTACAATCGGGACAATTGTTTTTTGTTGTTATTGTTTGTTAATCCAGTTGTCCGTAACGTTTTTCTTTATTGTTACAAATACCGGCGTGAACACTGGCACGCAATGCTGCAACATGCAGATTCCCCAGGGGTGCACGAGTGAGATGGTAAAACGATGGGGTATTTTTAGCGTGCCGAGCCCCGGATTTATTTCCCACGCCAACACCGTAGAATTATTGGACTCCTGTGAGTCCAGTCCGTGACGAGTGCGCCGATCGCGCGCGCACGGTGAACTCTGTCGCGAACGAAACACGCCACCGGCGTGAAACGAAAGCTAAAAATGTGCGCGAAGAAGCAGCACGGAGGCCTCCGTGGTGGAGACGGAGCGATGACATCGGATTGTGTGTAGGCGACGCGCGCTCTGCATCACGACGCCGCGAGAGGCGATTAGCGGCAGCTTGAGAAGGCCTTCATCCAGCAGTGGAGAGGTCATGGCTGAAGATGACGACGGTGGTGTGATTACCAAAGTAAGCCGGCTGCTGTGAAGTGGACATTCAAGACACAACGGTGCGGGCACGTGCAAGCTCGCTGGCCATTGTGTACGCATGCACGTTGAACTTATTTCGCAACGTACGTTGCCAACCGCGCTAATCGGAGGTGCGGGGAAAGGACAACAAACGAAGCACGTAAAGCAGCTCTAAAGAAATTAGTTTGTCAATCTAAACGATGATTTGAAAGTGCACAGCCCCAGTGGGTTCCTAATATCGGAAGGAAGAGCGTTCCAGACGGCCGCAGAAGCGCATCTGAAAGCGCCGCTTTGTAGGTGACCGCCTTTGTTCGGTGGCTTTGTCGCGTCTCACATCCCCAGATAAGAGGCGTCGGGGAGTCTTTCTGCTCATACGGGCTCATCTCCATTGCTGAGCCCGGAGCCAAGGGTGGATACTCCACATTCCCGTGGCAGGGGCAGGTTGATTCGTGGGACAACCCAGGTTTGCCTGCCCACAAAGTGCCACTCAATGTAGTGGTCGCAGAGGGAAGTTGGGCCGTGTTGACTCCTAATTGTTTTTTTCCACATCGTAATCTTCCATCCGGCCAGATTCAAATACTTCTCGAGAAATCGATAAACCGTCGCGATATGAACACTGGCTATTGTGTCTCTCGTCAAATATATAATGACCCTAAACGAACTTCTATATATGTAAAAAAACGCAACACATCCATCAATAAATGGCTGCGTGGCCTTAAAAGGAAAGAAATGACCCTTCTGCATCACGCGTGCGAGTTGAACGAGGCTGCTTTACGTGCCATGAGGAAGGCCTGCTTCCTGTCATGCCCCTTATTGTTTGTCTTTCCCTTCGAGGCCACGGCGGTGTTGACGATTTTTGCCCCGTTGTTTTTGTCATTCGTGTACCACTGCCAACGCAGCAGCAGCAGCAGCATAATAATACTTTTAAAAAACACAACGTGTAGTCTCATTCACGCGATTAGCGTCCCATAACGCTGGACATTAATTATACACGAGGACAAAATTCCCACGAGCAGCCACTGCCAAGCATCGGCGAGCGTCCCCGCTCGGTGCGACGATGTCGGTTTCCGCGGGCACGCCGCACGTGGCACCCCGACGCGTGTCCAGGTCGTGCCCGCTGCCCGCGCCACTTAGCGCGGCGTCCAAGGTCGCGATGGCCCAGGTCAGGGGTCAGAGCGGAGGGCGCCAAGGGGGCTTGCTGCGTGCGACGCCGGGGGGGGGGCGGGGGTTAGGGCTGGGGGGTTGCGGGGTGCTGCGGGGTGCCCTACCCATGCAACGACGGCGCTTTCCAGACCCGGCTCGGCGAGGCGGCGACGGCGGCGGTGCCGCTGGGGAAAGCGAGCTTTCGCGACGACTCTACGTCGTACCTGTTGCCTTCAGGACATCTCCTGGCACGCACGGGCACGCACGCACGGGCACGCACGCGCGCACACACAATAGGTGCGGAGCGGTGAGCAGGATCGCTCGTGTCCGGTTTTAGTTGGCGGGGGGCGGGTTTAGTCCGGGTTATTCGATGAGTTTAGCTCGGTCGGTTTAGTTTGGCGATGGCATTGGGTCAGTGTCGGCGGAAGTTCGGCTGGGTTGTTGTGGTCGGGCTGAGAGTTGGGGGTTGCCACGATGTCGTTTTTGTCAAGATCGGGCAGGCGGCGGACGAGACATTTCGGGACGTGAGAGTCGTCGCTGTGTCTGTTTCCCTTAACTCCGTCAGGGAATATCACTTATCGTCTTGTTTTATGTCCACTGATTTACGGTTGAGAGTTCTCCGACTGGAGTTTACCCCCAAATAACCCCGCCATGAGTATTTTAATAATTGCAGCTTCGTAACGCGCCTGCCGTCAGAAAGCGTCATGCAACCACCACGCCGTAAATTTATCCAGAAAACAAAGCACTCATTCAATGGATACTTCTTAGATGTTTAATTGTCGTGATTTTTTAAAATTACGGTTAAAAGTATTTAATGACGATTCCTGATTTATATTTTGGGTTTGGCCACGCAACGGTCCAGCCCAAGACACGTGCCATCGAGGGCATCCGCCGGCCAACACAACCAAACGATTGACCCTCCCCCCCTCCCCGTCGTGAGGCTCGCCCTCGTCTCCCGAGTTCTCGCGTGGGCAAAACTAAAACAAGGGTGATGCGCCTCAGGCGTGCGAGCGTTTCGCAACGCCGCCGATGATCGGTTGACGTTTTCGGCTCACCGGTGAAATCGAAGAAGACATTTCCCACGACCAAATCGACGAGCACGAATTGAGCGACGGTTCGAAGCCTGCGTCAAAACTCAGCGTCGGGACAGCGACGTCGCCGGGACGTTGGTTTGGCTCGCGCGTCGAGCGGTGAAGGATAACTGGCGGCAAAAGCCGAGCCCAAAACAATCGACGACGTGTCGGGAAAATTGGCCGGCGAAAAAAAGGGCGCGCAGCGCCGATCACGGCACGAGGATTCATTGCCGAACGGACGGCAGGATAGCGGCGACGGCACGGCACCTCCGATTAGCGCGGTCGGCTACGTACGGTGCGAAAGAAGTTCAACGCACGTACGGTGCGTACGTACGTACGATACATCCCAGCGTCGCATTATCGCGGCAGCCCCCAAAGTCAGTCGTCGTTCGCCAAGTTAGTCGAGGTTAGTTGGACCCTCTTCGAAGGTCCGAGTTGAAGCCGGGTTAGTTGCTACATACAGACAGGCTGGGGTTTATTAACCCGCGTTAGCGTCCGAGCTGCTGCTGCTGCTGCTGCTGCTTCTGCGCAAGCTCTGTGCTGCGAGAGCACTCGGCGTGGGCTGTCCGTGATGGACGTCGTTAGCCTCCGTTCATGCGGTACGGATTCGCTGGGCATGCCCGGTGCTCAAAGAGCCGGACTGAGGCGCCGCGAAGGCCCTCTGTGAGGAGAGCCAAGACGCGTCCGTGTGTCCCGTGAAGCGTTCCGGTGTTTGTCTTACACATGCCACGGGATGTCACATGCAGCATGCACGCGTGCACACTTGTGCGCATAACTGTTGAGCACAACACATTGTACGCAAGTTATACACAGCGGCACATCGGCACTGGTGCAACTCGCGCAAATAGAACGTCACGGGATATCCCTTTAACCCTGCTACGCCGCAGGGCCAAGTGCTGTTAGCGAGCTCCCATTGACACGGGTGTGAAAGACTTGGCCGAAATCACACCTGGACACCTTTGTCTTCCTAGCACCGATCTTCGTACAGCTCAGGGCTCGCCACTGATGTTAGCCATGACTCTGGAGGTCGGATTCATAGTGCAGGGCACTAATCAGCACTCCACAGCCCGTCACAAACGAATCTGCACTCCCAGCGAAACTCTGGCACCAGAGGCAAAGATCCCCGTGTAGCCTGTAACAGACTGTAGGGGGAAGTGCCGTTAGCGAGCACCTGAGGAGGCCGGCACGGCACACGAGGGGGTGGGTGGCCAGCACCACGCCCGGCCGCCTTTGTCTCCCCATTTTTGATGTTTGGGCACCGCACCAGGTACTCATTTCAGGCTGAGTCGACCTCGGGGAGGCCCAGGACCGGTTTAGATAATCGTCACCGATCTTGGCTGTGATCGAGAATCGAACTCGAGTCTCCGAGTTCGTAGCACAGTGCACTGACTGCTGCGCCACCGCTCCCCATTATGCACACGCGCACAGACGTACGGCATCACACACATACGCACGTGCGCACAGCCTCCTAACTAATATAAATTCAGGAGAGCTGGAGTTTCTTGCCATACGTGTCGCGCAAGGCTGTCACGGAGGCGCTGCGTTTCACAGACACGCGGTGTGCGGTAGTTTCCCAGTAGGGGGGCGACGTCGCTGCTCCGTGTCATCGCATCCAAGGAACTTTTGGCGTCATTTTTCAAATTTTGACAAAAACCTGAACCGCGACAGCGGAGCGCGGTTGGGGCCTACTCGTTTAGAATGCCATCAGGGGGTCTTTTGACGCACGGCGCGTAGCGCAGTCAGGGTTCGCGCCAGACACGGCCGCGGTATTAACCAATGGCGGCCTGCACGATTCAAACCGCGAACGCCTGCAACAGGTGGCGAACGCGCTCCTACCAGGCCCTCTCGGCCCTCTCGGCCACCGTCACCGCCCTCACGATACAGGGCGCCACAGATGTTAACTACCTCGCCCGGTATACACGAGGTTGTGGATTCGATCCCGACCGTGACGCCTGCTGTTTATTTGGAGTTTGCGTGTTCTCCCCGTGGTCACGTGGAATTTTCCCCGGTTTTTCCCTCAACATTTAGAATCAACGTCACGCAATTAGAGTATAAATTTCCACGCGATGATGATAAGCCACTTTGTTGAGCTATCATTTGTGGGCCAGGTCGCCTCTGAAAATAAAGAGCAATGCAGCTCAGTGGTGCCTTCCTTGCTACAATAAAAAAAAAAAACTTTAGTTTAGTTAAAATCCACAAATGATCAGTTTGATTGGAAGTCAGGAACGTTCATATTAAAAAATTTCCCACTGATTATATTCCAGTCTTTCCATCGCCGTGACGGGATTTCAATTCGCATTCCAAATTCCCAGAGTGTGCAGTCAATATAGTTTAGGCTTCAGCACAGGCTCCCTCGCACGCGCGGGGGGGTGGGGGTGGGGGGTGGGGGGTGTGATCCCTCACCTTTTCTTGATGAACACGACGAGCCCGGCTACGGCCGACGCAGCAGCAGCACCGACGAGCACCAAGACGCCGGCGACTTTGGCACCGCTCGGCGACTTCCGCGCGCCTGTGGGGAGAGCGTCCCCCCAAACCCCGACACGTGAGGCCAAGCCGGCTTCCATTCCCCCACCCACATCCCACCCCCCCGATGGCAGCGTCTGCGATGGTTCCAAAAAAAATGTTGATTCACAGCGCTCTGCTGTCAATCCACCGCTGGGGGGACGAGGCTTGCTGGCCACGATGCCGTCGCGTCGGTCACGTGACTGGTCAAAAAGAAGGGGTCGAGACTTCGCTCACCGCCGGTGTGAGGGACTTTCAGACGTCGTTCATCGCACGGCGTGCGCTCACCGCCTGTGTCACCGCTCCTCTACCCCTTCGCAAGGTCACAGCTGCCAACCCCTTATCAGTGCCCTACCTTACTACAGACCAATTCAGACCTTGTCGGTCACGCCGTGCCCCTTATAGATCTCAACGTTCATCATACAAAGTCCCATCACGAGGTTGTACGCTGCGTGGACCTTAAAACTCAATTTCCCTGTTCAAGAATACGGGGTGAGCCGTGTGGGTCGACAGCTGTGCCAGGGCCGCTCCACCACCACCACCACCTCGTGTGGTGGTGGTGGTGGAGCGGTGGCGGTGGCACCAACCCTGGGACCGCTCTGGCACCACGTGCCCCCCCCCCCACCCAACTTTACTTTTCCAATGTCAATACGGATTGTGCGTCTGTCTGTCCGCCTGGGGAGCAGTGGTGCAGCGGTCAGTGCACTGTGCTATCAAGCCGGCGGCGCCGAGTTCGATTCCCAGTCGTGGCTAAAATCAGCGGCGAGTGGTTTCTAAACTGGTTTTGGCCCTCTCCTAGGTCAACTCGGCCTCAAATGAGCAACTGGCGTGGCAGTGAAGAGACAAAGGGGTCCGAGTGATGGTGGCGGCCATGCCACCCCCTCCAGTACCCAAGAGCCCCATCAGCCTAGATACAGGCACCTCCGAGTGTGTGTGGGATCATCGTCTTTGTCGTTCCCATCCCTGCTGTGCTGGCACAGTCGGCAGCACAGGTCAACCCACGGCACCCGGGTCTGGCCCGTGACCTCCTGTCAGCGGCGAACCTTCGACACTTCACGTGGCCTCAAAGTGCACCTAGCCTGGCACAGGTGCTGTGATGACGTCGGCGCCACTCATCGGTGGATGGTGGCTATTGTTGCTCCCACGTATACGTACATACATATGTACATATATAAGCATGTATACCTATATAAGTATACGTACCTATATAAGTATGTATCCCTATATAAGTATGTATACCTATATAAGTATACATACCTATATATGTATACATACCTATATAAGTATGTATACCTATATAAGTATGTATACCTATATAAGTATACATACCTATATAAGTATGTATACCTATATAAGTATACATACCTATATATGTATACATACCTATATAAGTATGTATACCTATATAAGTATGTATACCTATATAAGTATACATACCTATATAAGTATGTATACTTATATATGTATACATACCTATATAGGTATGTATGGGTATGCCACACCGCTGCCACTCCTAGCTATGCACGCGAGATGTTGCAACAGGATGGATCACCGCTCCGGGGAGTTTGCCTACTCCAAGCCAACCTAGAAGGGTTACTTGGGTCATGGGGAGTCTGTACGTAAGTACGTTGAACTTCTTCCGCAGCGTACGTAGCCAACCGTGCTAATCGGAGGTGCGGAGGGAGGACAACAAACTAAAGACAAAAGTAGTTCTAAAGAAATTAGTTTTCAATCTAGATGATTTAAAAGAGCACAGCTCCAGTGGCTTCCTATTATCAGAAGGAAGAGCATCCCAGACGGCCGCAGAAGCGCATCTGAAAGCGACGCGCGATGATGCGGTGACCACCATCTTTGTTCGATGGTTACCCAAAAGCCACTGCTGCTGCGAGCTCACGTGATGGTTCATGCTCCTTGACGAGATCAGTAGCGAGGTAATGAGTGAGACGTGAATTCCCTGGGTGTACCTGTGCACATGACGTGTTTTCCCTGCGTGTACCTGTGCACGAGAACTGCTGTCCTTGCCAGGTCCCGTTTGTACTGCACACGAGGCTCCACTGGCCGACCTGCGCCTCCGGTTCATCGACGCATTTGTAGTGAGCGGTGGCACCAGGTCCCTTGCCCACTTGCTTCACGCGCGTCCCGTTCAGCTCGGGGGGCGCGTTGCAGTCCAGGTCTACGCGGCGGAGGGGCGGTATAGAGGCACACACGCAAGACAAAGATCCCCCGTGTAGTGTTTAACAGGCTGTTGGGGCAAGTGCCGTTACCGAGCAGCACCTGTGAAGGCCGGCACGGCGACACACGAGGGGGCCAGCACCACGCCCGGCCGCCTTTGTCTCCCAAGTGTTGATGTTTACATACCGTACCAGGTACTGTACTCATTTAAGCCTGAGTCGACCTAGGGGAGGCCCAGAGCCAGTTCAGATATGCGTCACTGATGTTGGCCGTGAGTGCCGTGAGTGGGAATCGAGCTCAGGACACCGGGTTCATAGCGCTAACCATTGCGCCACCGCTCAAAGGGGCACGCACACATTGTGCGTGTTCCTTTTATAGTGAATTCTGGTCATTTGAAAGGATACTGATTTCATCATCATCAGCCTTGATCAAAATGTTCTTAAACACAAGGTGCAACGCAAATATAATGGATGTATGCTGAACTTCTTTCGCGCTGTACGTAGCCAACTGTGCTTATCGGAGGTGTCGATGAAGGACAACAAACTAGACACAAAAAGCAGTTCTAAAGAAATTCGTTTTCAATATACGTAGACGATGATTTAAAAGTGCATAGCTCCAGTGGCTTCCTAATATCGGAAGGAAGATCGTTTCAGACGGCTGCAGAAGCGCATCTGAAAGCGCCACGCGATGCGGTGACCATCTTTGATGACCAGCCAAAAAAACATATTTGCTGGAGCACCTTACGGCAACTTTGTCATAACAATGATACTTTAATACATTTGGTATTCGCACCGTTCTGACGGCGCAGGTCTATCGCCGCCGCTACTGTGTTTCACATGGGGCTCTGCCGCATGCGATGCCATTTGAGTGATTGTACCAAATGCAGCAAACAGCGTGTGGGTTCGGGGATGAGTTAACAACGGCCTAAGGGCACCTGTGAGTGACGCGTCCACCATCGCCGCCCCCTTGTCTGTCGGACTCAAGGAAGGCTTGGTGGTCGCTTGTGTGGCTGGTCGTGACGTGAAGATTGATGGTCTGGTTGTTGGAGGCCTTGTTGATGGAGGCCTTGTGGTTGGAGGCCTTGTTGATGGAGGCCTTGTGGTTGGAGGCCTTGTTGATGGAGGCCTTGTGGTTGGAGGCCTTGTTGATGGAGGCCTTGTAGTTGGAGGCCTTGTTGATGGAGGCCTTGTGGTTGGAGGCCTTGTTGATGGAGGCCTTGTGGTTGGAGGCCTTGTTGATGGAGGCCTTGTGGTTGGAGGCCTTGTTGATGGAGGCCTTGTGGTTGGAGGCCTTGTTGATGGAGGCCTTGTGGTTGGAGGCCTTGTTGATGGAGGCCTTGTGGTTGGAGGTCTTGTTGATGGAGGCCTTGTGGTTGGAGGCCTTGTTGATGGAGGCCTTGTGGTTGGAGGCCTTGTTGATGGAGGCCTTGTGGTTGGAGGTCTTGTTGATGGAGGCCTTGTGGTTGGAGGCTGCAACGTAGCTACGCTGACGCAGAACGTTCCATCCCGCCTGGGCTGAAAGGGCTCCGTGCCGTTGGTGGCCACGTACCCGTCCAGGCAGCGGCACGCAAAGGCCCCCGGTCGGTTCTCGCACGAGGCTCCGGCTCCGCACGCCGCGATTCCCCCAGCGCACTCGTCCACATCTGCGGGGCACACAGCATTGGATCAGCGCCATAGTGCGGGCAGGGTGGATGGGGCACGGTGGCTAGGAGATGTGAACTACCTCGCCTGGTATACAGGAGGTCGTGGGTTCACTCCCGATCCTGACGACAGTGAGAGACCCGTAGGAGAAATTGACTCTCCGCCAAAGTGGATTGTTCCACCAACGGCTCTGGGAAGGGAACTAAAACCAAAGGAAGGAAAACAAGAGAAAAACCAGGGTGGTCGCTGGTGTCGAACCGCGAACCGCTGCAACACTGCAACGCACGCTGAACGCGCGACCGCTCGACTGTGCGGTGGCGGCGTGGAACGTGGATTGTGGGAAGGGAACTAAAACTAAGGGAGGAAGAGATTATCCATGGTGGCCGCCTGGCTCGAACCGGCGGCGGCGCAGATGACGACGGTGGTAGGGCGCGAGCCTCGCCTGCGCACGTCGTTCCGTCGTTGGGCTCGAAGTCGCGCTTGCCGCTGGACGAGAGGTAGCCCACGGCGCAGCGGCAGTAGAAGCTGCCGAAGGTGTTGAAGCAGCTGGTGCCCGGGCCGCACAGCATCTCCACGTCAAGCCGGCACTCGTCGTTGTCTGTGCGGGGTCGTGGTGGGAGGGGGGGGTTCACGCACGGACAGGGTCAAGGATGGGCCGGGGGGTGGAGTGGGGGGGGGGCGGTGACCAAATGACCAAAGCGTCCAGATTGTGCCCCGATCGTATCGGATGGGGGCGCCGCGGTGGCGAGATGTCAACTCCCTCGACTGGTACGCAGGAGATCGTGAGTTCGATCCCGACCCTGACTTCTCCTGCTGTGTATTTGGAGCGTGCGTGTTCTCCCCGTGGTCGCAAAGATTTCACCCCGAGCCTTCCAGTTTTTCCCTCCACATTTAGAATCAACGTCACGCGTTCGGAGCATTTGGCCGCTGTAAATTTCCACATGACGATAAGCCACTTCGTTGATCTATCATTTGTGATAGCCAGGTCGCTTCTGAAAAAGAGCTATATATAGCTCAGTGGGGGCATTACCTGGTGAAATACTAACAAAAATGTGTCAGAAGCCAACAGGATGGAGTCGGCGTGCCAAAACCAGTGACACGGGAGGATCACCATTTAGAATTTGTTACCCATTGGAAGCCTCTGCCTGAATCACGTGGGATGCATCCCGTCTCATCAAATCTCAAAAGCTAAGCGAAGGCTGAGCCCGGATAGTGCTTGGATGGGTACCGACCGCCTGCCCGTATAACACGTGGTACAGGCCTTGTGGAATAGACGGAGGGCAATAGCTTGCCACGCAGTCAGACAGACAGCTCCCCCACAATCAGTCAGACAGCTCCCCCACAATCAGTCAGACAGCTCCCCCACAATCAGTCAGACAGCTCCCCCACGATCAGTCAGACAGCTCCCCCACAATCAGTCAGACAGCTCCCCCACAATCAGTCAGACAGCTCCCCCACAATCAGTCAGACAGCTCCCCCACGATCAGTCAGACAGCTCCCCCACAATCAGTCAGACAGCTCCCCCACGATCAGCCAGACAGCTCCCCCACAATCAGTCAGACAGCTCCCCCACAATCAGTCAGACAGCTCCCCCACAATCAGTCAGACAGCTCCCCCACGATCAGTCAGACAGTTCCCCACAATCAGTCAGACAGCTCCCCCACAATCAGTCAGACAGCTCCCCCACAATCAGTCAGACAGCTCCCCCACAATCAGTGAGACAGCTCTCCCACAATCAGTCAGACAGCTCCCCCACAATCAGTCAGACAGCTCCCCCACGATCAGTCAGACAGCTCTCCCACAATCAGTCAGACAGCTCCCCCACAATCAGTCAAACAGCTCCCCCAAAATCAGTCAGACAGCTTCCCCCACGATCAGTCAGACAGCTCCCCCACAATCAGTCAAACAGCTGCCCCATAATCAAACAGACAGCTCCCCCACATTCAGTCAAACAGCTCCCCCACAATCAGTCAGACAGCTCCCCCACGATCAGTCAGACAGCTCCCCCACGATCAGTCAGACAGCTCCCCCACAATCAGTCAGACAGCTCCCCCACAATTAGTCAGACAGCTCCCCCACGATCAGTAAGACAGCTCCCCCACAATCAGTCAGACAGCTCCCCCACGATCAGTCAGACAGCTCCCCCACGATCAGTCAGACAGCTCCCCCACGATCAGTCAGACAGCTCCCCCACGATCAGTCAGACAGCTCCCCCACGATCAGTCAGACAGCTCCCCCACGATCAGTCAGACAGCTCCCCCACGATCAGTCAGACAGCTCCCCCACGATCAGTAAGACAGCTCCCCCACGATCAGTCAGACAGCTCCCCCACGATCAGTCAGACAGCTCCCCCACGATCAGTCAGACAGCTCCCCCATGATCAGTCAGACAGCTCCCCCACGATCAGTCAGACAGCTCCCCCACAATCAGTCAGACAGCTCCCCCACAATCAGTCAGACAGCTCCCCCACAATCAGTCAGACAGCTCCCCCACGATCAGTCAGACAGCTCCCCCACAATCAGTCAGACAGCTCCCCCACAATCAGTCAGACAGCTCCCCCACAATCAGTCAGACAGCTCCCCCACAATCAGTGAGACAGCTCTCCCACAATCAGTCAGACAGCTCCCCCACAATCAGTCAGACAGCTCCCCCACGATCAGTCAGACAGCTCTCCCACAATCAGTCAGACAGCTCCCCCACAATCAGTCAAACAGCTCCCCCAAAATCAGTCAGACAGCTTCCCCCACGATCAGTCAGACAGCTCCCCCACAATCAGTCAAACAGCTGCCCCATAATCAAACAGACAGCTCCCCCACATTCAGTCAAACAGTTCCCCCACGATCAGTCAGACAGCTCCCCCACGATCAGTCAGACAGCTCCCCCACGATCAGTCAAACAGCTCCCCCACAATCAGTCAGACAGCTCCCCCACGATCAGTCAGACAGCTCCCCCACGATCAGTCAGACAGCTCCCCCACACTCAGTCAGACAGCTCCCCCACAATTAGTCAGACAGCTCCCCCACGATCAGTAAGACAGCTCCCCCACAATCAGTCAGACAGCTCCCCCACGATCAGTCAGACAGCTCCCCCACGATCAGTCAGACAGCTCCCCCACGATCAGTCAGACAGCTCCCCCACGATCAGTCAGACAGCTCCCCCACGATCAGTCAGACAGCTCCCCCACGATCAGTCAGACAGCTCCCCCACAATCAGTCAGACAGCTCCCCCACAATTAGTCAGACAGCTCCCCCACGATCAGTAAGACAGCTCCCCCACAATCAGTCAGACAGCTCCCCCACGATCAGTCAGACAGCTCCCCCACGATCAGTCAGACAGCTCCCCCACGATCAGTCAGACAGCTCCCCCACGATCAGTCAGACAGCTCCCCCACGATCAGTCAGACAGCTCCCCCACGATCAGTCAGACAGCTCCCCCACGATCAGTCAGACAGCTCCCCCACGATCAGTAAGACAGCTCCCCAACGATCAGTCAGACAGCTCCCCCACGATCAGTCAGACAGCTCCCCCACGATCAGTCAGACAGCTCCCCCATGATCAGTCAGACAGCTCCCCCACGATCAGTCAGACAGCTCCCCAACGATCAGTCAGACAGCTCCCCCACGATCAGTCAGACAGCTCCCCCACGATCAGTCAGACAGCTCCCCCACGATCAGTCAGACAGCTCCCCCACGATCAGTAAGACAGCTCCCCAACGATCAGTCAGACAGCTCCCCCACGATCAGTCAGACAGCTCCCCCACGATCAGTCAGACAGCTCCCCCATGATCAGTCAGACAGCTCCCCCACGATCAGTCAGACAGCTCCCCAACGATCAGTCAGACAGCTCCCCCACGATCAGTCAGACAGCTCCCCCACGATCAGTCAGACAGACGAAGTGGAATCACAAACACGACAGCCGCTGTCCGAGCGCCGAGCTTTCGCGTCACCTCTGCAGGTGCTCTTCCCGTTCCCGGAGAGCCCCTTGTTGCAGACGCACTTGAGGACGTCGTCCTTGGCCATGCACGTGGCGTTCACGTGGCAGCTGCTGCACACGTCAGGCTCCTGCGTCGTCTCATCGTCGTCGTCGTCGTAATTGTAGTCTTGAGCGGCGGAGCACCACGACACCAACACTTTGTGGGGTTAGAGAGAGAGGGGAGATGCGGAAGGAGGGGTGGAGTGGGGGGGGCAAAACATCGATTTGGTGACATTACAATGGCACGTGTCTTTGAATTGACGAAGTGTCAACGTGATGCTGGCACAGTGGCGCAATGGTTATTTGGTGCCGCCGCTGCTGTTGACATGGGCGGTGGCACAAGCACAATAAACAATAACAACTCGACACACTCGTCAACAACACTGCGACGTTTCGGGAAATGGCCCTTATTCGTTAGCACATCAACCGAGAGGCGGGAGAGGGATTAAGGGCTGGAGACTGCACTTCACAGCGTGGGGCATGATGGGAAGTCAATGTAATACGTAAGACGTCTTCTGATGAGCGACTTTTCATTCGGAATAACAAATGAAAACTAGTTAATATGCACACGAATAGGGGTAGGTTGTGGTGTGGTGTAGGTTGTGGTGTGGTGTAGGTTGTGGTGTAGTGTAGGTTGTGGTGTGGTGTAGGTTGTGGTGTGGTGTAGGTTGTGGTGTGGTGTAGGTTGTGGTGTGGTGTAGGTTGTGGTGTAGTGTAGGTTGTGGTGTGGTGTAGGTTGTGGTGTGGTGTAGGTTGTGGTGTAGGTTGTGGTGTGGTGTAGGTTGTGGTGTGGTGTAGGTTGTGGTGTAGGTTGTGGTGTGGTGTAGGTTGTGGTGTGGTGTAGGTTGTGGTGTGGTGTAGGTTGTGGTGTAGGTTGTGGTGTGGTAGAGGTTGTGGTGTGGTGTAGGGTTGTGGTGTGGTGTAGGTTGTGGTGTGGTGTAGGGTTGTGGTGTGGTAGAGGTTGTGGGGTGGTGTAGGGTTGTGGTGTGGTGTAGGTTGTGGTGTGGTGTAGGGTTGTGGTGTGGTAGAGGTTGTGGTGTGGTGTAGGTTGTGGTGTGGTGTAGGTTGTGGTGTGGTCTAGGTTGTGGTGTGGTAGAGGTTGTGGTGTGGTGTAGGTTGTGGTGTGGTGTAGGTTGTGGTGTGGTAGAGGTTGTGGTGCGGTGTAGGTTGTGGTGTAGGTTGTGGTGTGGTAGAGGTTGGGGTGTGGTAGAGGTTGTGGTGTGGTGTAAGTTGTGGTGTAGGTTGTGGTGTGGTAGAGGTTGTGGTGTAGGTTGTGGTGTGGTAGAGGTTGGGGTGTGGTGTAGGTTGTGGTGTGGTGTAGGTTGTGGTGTGGTGTAGGTTGTGGTGTGGTAGAGGTTGTGGTGTGGTGTAAGTTGTGGTGTAGGTTGTGGTGTGGTAGAGGTTGGGGTGTGGTGGACCCTCCAAACATCTTCCAATACGTCGGCCCAATGTCGTGGGTCTACCACTGAGCACATGATAATAGCATGATAATAGTATGATAATAGTATGATAATAGTATAATAGCATGATAATAGCATGGTAATAGTATGATAATAGTATAATAGTATGATAATAACATGATAATAGTATGATACTAGTATGATAATAGTATACTATTATGATAATAGTATGACAATAGCATGATACTAGCATGGCAATAGTATGCTAATAGCATGAATATAGCATGATAACAGTATGGTAATAGCATGATGCTAGCATGACAATAGTATGATAATAGCATGATCATATCATGATAACAGTATGATAATAGCCGTGATGCACTGGGTGCTGCGCTTGCATCACGTCTTGTCTGTGGTCTCAGTGTTGTAATTGAAATGAAGTGCGCACCACAGACAGGAGTCGAACTCGACTTGAGAGCTATGCACCGACGAGAAGCCTGTAGGAAAAGCCCTTGAGGTTGGCTTCTAACGTGCCAGAGACGTCCGCCTACACCAGGCGCTCATTGTTGGCGATCAGCCTCGCCGCACCAGGCCAAACAGAATCGGAATCGGAGTCTTTGTTAATTTAGACTGCAGCAGCAGGAGGAATCCGATGAGCTATGAAGCTCTTGTCCACACACGCACAGTGTTGGGTGTGTGTCAGCAAGTCACAGCAGCAGACAGTACATCAAACAAACACACGGAGCACGAGAGAGGGAGAATAATGGGCAAGGAAGTGAGACAATGCAAATAAAAAAAATATTTCATATAAGTCCGATTTATCGAGATTTGGCACGGCATCAAAAACAACAGTCCCAGATCACGGCAAGATAACAACCGCACAGTAGGCGGCCCTCCGATAACACCGCTGCCCTCTGCAACAGGAGAGATTTTGATGGCCAGGCTGTGGAGGTCCAATTACATTGGCAAGGGTACATCCATTGCCTCGCAAGACAGAGCGAGAGAGGCTTCTTTCTCGTGAGAAATATACTAGCTTTACATTCTCTGCACTTACTAGCTTCAGACTCGTCCATAATAGAGGTTTTTTTTGTGGGGGGGAGTGGGGGGTTAGATCGCGATCTAACCTAATAATGTGATTAACCCCCTCCCCCCCTTTCCCCAGAAAGCTGTATTATGGATGATATTGACCACGAAAGCCGACGTGTTAAACTTCCGACTGGTGTTGGACAGGCCAGGCCACACGGCCCAGGCTCATACCTACAAGGTAAAGCGATCGTTTCATAATTTAACCTTTGGTTATTTCGGTAAAGCCACGTAGGTAGAAATACAATAAAATAAATCACGACGTTTCGGACGCAACACAAGGGTCCGTCATCACCATTTTCCGCCTGATGACGGTCACTTGTGTTGCGTCCGAAACGTCGTGATTCGTTTGATTTTATTTCTACCTGACCTACGTGACTTTACCGAAAGAACCAGAGAGTATGGATTCCTATAGTCACGAAAGCTTCAAATCAAGATTGTTTGTTTTATTGTTGATCTTGCGGTCGTGATTTCCTTCCCCCAGCCACCGTGCTAAACTAAACTCTAATAAACTAAACGATGTCTAATCAAGACTAGACGATGTTTTATCTCGCAAGGCAAAGGCCCACTGAGCTATGTGGCTCTTTCTCAGTAGCGACCTGGCGATCGCAAATCTCAGCTCAGCGAAGTGAGATCATCATTAGCATCACGTGGACATTTACAGCGGCCAAATACTCGAAACGCGGAGTGGCGTTGATGCTTAACGTGGAGGGGAAAACCGCAGGACCCGGGGAGAAATCCACGCGGCCACGGGGAGAGAGACGCAGACTCCAAATGTACAGCAGCAGGCGGGGGCCCCCCACGACCTGCGGGTCGTGGGGGGCTGTTGACCGTCACCGTTCCGGTCAGTCGAGGATGACGCGCGGTGCACCGGTGGATATTGCTGCTGCTGCTGCACCACCCTCTGCTGATGTGCTGATGTGAGTACGTGTGTTGAACTTCCTTCGCACCGTATGTAGCCAACCCGGCGGAAAGACTGCAACAGCAACAACAACCAGCCGCAGCCTGGCACGCCTTGTGACTGTAGCCTGGTGACTGTAGCCTGGTGACTGTAGCCTGGTGACTGTAGCCTGGTGACTGTAGCCTGGTGACTGTAGCCACGTGACTGTAGCGTGGTGACTGTAGCCACGTGACTGTAGCCACGTGACTGTAACCTGGTGACTGTAGCCTGGTGACTGTAGCCTGCCTCTGTGGCGTTCGAGAGTGTGTCGTTAAACCTGCCACCACCCGACGCAGCCGGTCAGTGAAGGGTTTAGTTACGTGAACAGAACGTGCCCATTCGTTACCAGCACAGCGGCTGTGTGTTGGAGAGCAAATCCACAGCATTGGATGTACGCGACCTGACCCAAAGCAGCTGTGTTGTTGTGGATGATGGTGGTCGCATCCCTTCTGCGTGTTAAACCGGCGGCGCTGTCTGTGCGTCGTCGCCGCAGGTTTCTAAGGAGACGCACAGAGACGTAAGGAGCACACCACCAACGATGACTCTCCTGCCATGTGCACCACACTAACAACCACCACCAGCCTCGTCATGCATTGCGTGAAGAGGTGCACTGTGGCCCGTCTTGTCTAGGGTCACCACCGCAATTCATTCGGGCAAAATGTGGCACGCGCACTGACAGCAGCAGCAGCGATACACCACTTTTGGACCGGTTTCGCCCCAAGCAGGACTCATCGGCACACCATAGCCCACCATAGCCCACCATAGCCCATCATAGCCCACCATAGCCCATCATAGCCCACCATGGCCCATCATAGCCCACCATAGCCCACCATAGCCCATCATAGCCCAACATGGCCCATCATAGCCCACCATAGCCCACCATAGCCCACCAAAGCCCATCATAGCCCATCATAGCCCACCATAGCCCATCATAGCCCATCATAGCCCACCATGGCCCACCATGGCCCACCATACCCCATCACAGCCCACCATGGCCCACCATGGCCCACCATAGCCCATCATAGCCCAACATGGCCCATCATAGTCCACCATAGCCCACCATAGCCCACCATAGCCCACCAAAGCCCATCATAGCCCATCATAGCCCACCATAGCCCATCATAGCCCATCATAGCCCATCATAGCCCACCATGGCCCACCATGGCCCACCATACCCCATCACAGCCCACCATAGCCCACCATAGCCCATCATAGCCCACCATGGCCCATCATAGCCCACCATAGCCCACCATAGCCCACCAAAGCCCATCATAGCCCATCATAGCCCACCATAGCCCATCATAGCCCATCATAGCCCACCATGGCCCACCATGGCCCACCATACCCCATCACAGCCCACCATGGCCCACCATGGCCCACCATGGCCCACCATAGCCCATCATAGCCCACCATGGCCCATCATAGCCCACCATAGCCCACCATAGCCCACCAAAGCCCATCATAGCCCATCATAGCCCACCATAGCCCATCATAGCCCATCATAGCCCATCATAGCCCACCATGGCCCACCATGGCCCACCATACCCCATCACAGCCCACCATAGCCCACCATAGCCCATCATAGCCCAACATGGCCCATCATAGCCCACCATAGCCCACCATAGCCCACCAAAGCCCATCATAGCCCATCATAGCCCACCATAGCCCATCATAGCCCATCATAGCCCACCATGGCCCACCATACCCCATCACAGCCCACCATGGCCCACCATG